TTTCCTGAGTAAACCTGGAACCTGGCATGAACGGTGGGGGATGAGTAGGTAAAACAGGCAGATCTGCCAGTGGGTCTTTGGCCTCCTGATGCTCTACCCAGAATTCTGCAGGCATTGATGTCAGTACTGGCCTCACCTTCCTCACTACAGGTTTGTACTTTAAGACACAATAAATGGGATTGAACTGATAAGTAGAGTGTAAGGCAGAGATTGTCAGTGGAGAAATGGTAGTAGCAGTCAAAAATAAGAAAGGGTCAGTCGGAGAAATGGAACTAGTATCAAAGGGATTGATTGGGGGTGTACTGTTGCCTCGTAAATCATAGATAAATGCTGCAGCAGGATATATAGCAACATCTGTGGGCAAAAACATGGTAGACTTCAAAGGGTATAAAGGTGGATCAGAAACATAAAGTGAACACACAGAGAAAGCACAATCCTGGTCTCCTCACAGATTGTATGAGTCCTCAACCAATATTAAAAACCCTGTTCAGGTGGATTCATGTGGAAACACATTTGTTTTTGCACGAAGAAGTCTTCTTCATCTTCAGAATTTATGAAACATGGAAGAGGTTGCAGTCTGTTGTGAGGTCATGTCAGAATTAAAACTTGTTTCCTGGAATTGGGGTTGTGGATTTCTAGAGACTGTTCTCCATCAGGGAAATCATGAAGGATGCTGGAGAGTAGGCAGAAGAAGGGTCAACCAAGCAGTAAGTCAAAAGGTGTGCAATCAACAACTTGGATTTGTAGATGGGCCTCAACATTTCCTATGCACAAGGTGGCATTCTCTATGACCCCAAGGGTGCTTTCTTTGGATTGGTTAGTGGCCTCCAGAGTCATAGTCATGTCAGTACAGAGGGGGGCCTCTAAGGCTTCCCACAACTCCCATTGCAAGGCCACTACCTGACATCTGCTGTCCAGGATACATTTGACATGAAGTTTGTCCATCAAGATTCTGTCAACAGCATGTAAGGGAGCCATAGTGAGGCCTATGCACTTCCCTTCTGTGTCTCTGACCCAGTACTGCTCATAGGACACCCAGGCAAGCTGAGGGTGTTGCATCTGATGTGGTTTCTAAACTCCTGGTCATTATCTTCTTTGTTGCAACCAGTTCTCTGACCTGCTTGTGAATCTCTAGGCTGACAGCTAGTAGGTCTTTAGTGGAGATTTCCATCTTTGTGTCTAAGACCTGGTTTACTGATCTGCTTGGTCACTGCAGCCTCATCAAAGCTGCTTTGGTAATGGAATTGAGGTGTGGAATTTGTAGGCAGCTCAAGCTTCCAGAGATCTGTAAGATTAGGAGCAACTGGAGTTTTTCCAGCTGCTGAGGCTTCCAAAGATGAGGTCAGGGTTAGCTGGAGTGGGATTACTGACTGGGGTAGGGGCCACTGGGATGTCAACAGATGCTAGGGACTGCTAGTGCCAGCCTTTGATCACAAACCAGGACTTCTACACTGTTGAAGTGAGCTGTCTTCTTTTTTTATATAGCATTCTTCAACTCTTCTACTTGTGCATAAGCCCTTGCTAAGGCTCATTGGTCCTCTTCATCAGCATCCTCCTCTAGGTCTTCATCAACTAGATAGGAGGAGGGGTGTAAGTCAACTTGGTATTCCAACACATCTCCATTGCTGAAGAACATTGTGCTGACAAGGTGGGGAGGTGTATTGTGCCCATGGGACAAGGATGACTGCTGACTGGGTCGCTGAACTGAGATGAGGTTTGCTGAGGCAATGATCAAGTCGCACATGGTGAGGAAGTTATTGATCTTTTCCTTGAAATTACAACCTGCAGCTGTCCTGGGAATGTCAGAGCCATCTGGCATGAAAACTCTTCCCCCAATCAGGGAGCATTTCCCAGCTTGTACATATTCATGACACAGCATACACTCTGCAGTTCTGTGGCCATCTGTTCCTCTGCAGAAGAAACACTGTGGATCAAAGGAATGATGGAATTGGCCTTCTTGACCTTGTTGAGGAGGCAGGGCAGGAACAGGTTGCTGAGTGACATGAACATACTCTCATTTCAAGATAGTAGGAACAGTTGGTGCAAGGAAGATGGAGCAGAATTCTGGGGAAACAGGTGCTGATGAATCTGGCTGAGGGAGGTTTTGTTTGGCCCCACTGAGCAGGTAGTTGGCATGTGTATAGACTGTATCAAACTCCCAGGGTTCATTGATGTCATGATCTAGGTCAGAGAGTTGCAATCACATGAACAAGGAATTCTGAAACCTTGGGGGAAACCCCTCAAGGAATTTCTTGTTGATGTAGTCCTCAGGGAGTTTCTTCTTCTTCTGGACAAGGCCTAGAATGCATCAGAATTCTCAGACATATTTCCCAAGATCTTCCAGTGATCCCATTGGTTTTTGAACTTGATGGTAGAGTAAGGTTTTGAGGTTGGCTTTAGTATAGCAATGATCTTTCACTGAGGCACCTGGATAGTAGTTCAGGAGTTTTTTGGAAAACACATCCCAGTCATTGAAGCCATCAGTTGTGGCATCTAAGGTGGACCAAAACTCTGCCTTGTTGTGGTCACTGAACTGACTTCTGGATTGCTTGCAGATTGCTTGTAAGTACATGGGGGTTTATATACTGTGGGAGGAGCACAGCTTGTGACAAACAAGGCACAAATGCTTGGTAAGTAATGAGTAAGGACTGAGTAATCATGATGAGTAAGCAAGAAATGAGGAGTAAGCAAGCAAAGAAGATTGGTAAGTATTGGCAATAAATGAGTCAAGGACAGTCAAAATATCACAGAATGAGTCAAATAAAGTCAGAAACTGAGTAAGCACACTGATATCACATTAGGGGGTGGCAATGCAAGTCAGATCGTGGCAGAGACTTCTCTAGATCCAAAGATGGCATGACAGATGGATAGTGTTTCCAGATAGGGAAGTATTAATTCCAGAATTGAAGGGCATGAGTCAGGCATCAAAGGGGCTAGGGCATTGGGGGTCTGTGGGGCAATGGGAGCATAAGTTATCATGTCTCCCACCCTTTCATCCTCTCAGCAAAGTTAACAAAAGCTTCATGAACAGGGCTCTGATGGAGGAGGAGGAGAAGGGGGGATGTCTTCTGCTGGATCTTGCAGTAAGAAGGCAAGATGCATGTCATACTCATCATGAATGTGATCAGGGAGGCTGGAGAACAGTAGACTATGCTGCAACTGTTGCAATGCAGGAAGAATGATGGACAAGATTGGAATAAAGATGGTGCAGGGAGCAGGGAGGAACGATCCATATGCTTCATCAACTGGGGAGACCAAAACAACCACATAAGACCTTTCTAACCAAGTGACAGACCTGAGGTGACCAAAGAATGTCCTTCTGGAAGTCATACTGACAAGGAGAACACACTGACCAAGCTGCATGGGATGTGACAGGGCTGACAATGATGGGATGAACCAGGGGGCTTCAGGACAGAAGCTGGGGATGCTGGCAGATATACATAGCCACTGTCTCTGGCAAATGAGACAAGTAAGATGATTGATGATGAGGTGGCCATGATTGATGGACTTAGTGAAATGAGCATCTGATGGATGGAGTGCTGTAGAAATGTGTAGGGTGTGAGGATCCTCTCCAAATTTGGAAGGCAGAACTGCATGGCTGAGCACTTTAAGCAAGTGTGAGAATGGAATCAATATCTTTGGAAATGGTGGAGATATGACAAAAACCAGAATGCTGTACACAGGCATGTCAAGTTTGGGTTGTCCAGGTTGAGACCAGACTGGAGACCAAGGGGTTTGGATCAGAAGGAAAGATGAAGATACAGAGGGGTGGACTGATTGGACTTAGCAACTGAGGTTACAGTGCTATTCCCTTGCATGGGTCTCAGTCTGAGTCTGAGTCTGAGGTGAGGTTATCAGAGTAACTTTGTTGATTTCAGACTGTGGGAGTACAGGCTGAGTATCTAAGACTTTATATACTAGAAGTAGCTATAGTATGGAGACCAGTAATGCCAGTCTCACAAAGATTGCTAAGATGATTGGTAAGAATGGTATTAGTAAGGTATGACTAAGGTAGTGGAGACTGGGACAGGGCAGACTGGGGACAAGACCAGGCAGAGATCAACCAAAGTGACACACACTGCAAAGCAGTGTTCATTGTGCTAGGACATCTGGGGATAAGGATTCTGGTGAGGCCAAGGCCAGACTGAACAAGTGTGAGACTGAGTCCTGGCTGGGGTCAAGGCATGACTATGACACCTACCTTCAAGAACTACAACCCCATTGAAAAGAGTTTTAATGTTGGTAAGTGTCTGGGGCTACTTCCATCATGGACAAATACACTGATCATTTGTGTAGTCAAAGCATTCCTTCACAGGTGTTGCCAAAGATTGGAAAGCAGTACAACACCACTGGATAACCTTATTGCACTCTGTATGGAAGCAGTGACACCTGAGAAAGCTCAAGGGTGGTATCAAGATTCAGGATATTTCTGATCATCACACAAGTTCCCACATACCACAAATATATTGCTGAAAGTAGGGTAAACAAAAAATGAAAGTGTTAATGGCAAGTATGTGAGAGGCTGAAAGGACATTAAAGGCTCAGAGTGATATGGTAAGCAAAATGAATGACAATGGTGGGGTATCCATATGGGGGAGGGGAGGATCTGAAAACAAGCACTTAGAGGTATCCTGCCTTCACCAAGGCTCTGTACTTCTTCTCAGCTCAGACAACTCAATTCCACTCACAAGGACAAAACCCAGCAACTTTGATGTCCTCTTTCTCAACATCTTGCAACCTGTCACTCACCTGGTATCCCAATTTCTCCAAGCCATGGAGATGGAAAGGGAGGCATCATGTAAATGGGTTGATGCTGCCCTGGGGCTCCTAAAAGAGAACCAAATGGATTTGTTGGGGTAGCTGGTGGCTGTGTGGCAACTGTAGGGGTGGAAGCATCCTTGATGACCTGGTCTGGACCAAAAAACCTTGAGTTAAGGGGGGGAACTCAAGAGTCTGTTGCTTTCTTGAGCTATGTACATCAGAACTGTATGTTGAATTTATCAAATTACTAGTGGAAGACATACAATTGCATGTGCCCACACTTTCTCAAGAGTAGGGATAAGTTCATAATGTCTATCAGTGGGACCATGGTGAAAGCAGCACAGATTTGGGTGGCAATCACAAAGACCTATGGGGTAAGTGTCCTGGAGTTGCTGTACAATTGGAGCCAGTTTCTTATCAAGTGAGACCTAACAACAGCTGAGGTAGGTATTGTTCAGTGTGCTTCAGACTTACAGTACATTTTGAGGAGGATGGCTTGTCCTTGCCCAACAGGGCTTCAGATGTGGTGACAGACTTCACAGCCCAGGGCTAGAGACATGAACTGAGTTAGAACCATGACAGTTTTCCAACTTAGGCTCTTACTGGAAGCTGTGCTTCACCATCTGTTGGCTTTGCCATCTTAATAAACAGATTTCCTGCTGCTCTCAATGATGAAGCTTTCAAATGAGATATCATGTACTCAAAGCCTTCCTCACTTGTGAGGGGCAATGAGTCCACCTTCACAGTCCAGCTCACAGAGAACTGCCACACCATTCTGTCAACCACTAAACACACAGGTGATTTGGCATAGACCTGCTTTGCTAAGAGTGTGAGGAAATCATCCCATGAAAGATCAAACAAGAACATGCAGGGCCCAAGGACAACAGGAGCTTGCTCCTGGTACTTGATAGTCCCACCATGACCCTTCACAATCACAGGGTCAACCTGAACCTCAACAAAAAGTGGACAGTGTGTCAAGGGGGGTGGAGGCACTTCAGCAGGTACCTGAACCTTTCTGGGGTGACCCCAAACCTTCTTCTGGACAGGTTTGGGACAAGGGGAGAGTAATTCTGGCAAGGAGATGCCAGGACTTGCACTGAGTCTTGCAAGCTTCTTCCAAGCAGGATGGGAGAACTTATCTGATGGTGAGCATGCCCATTTCAATGCTTTTGCAGGAGTACAGATCTTCAAGCTGGGCTTATGCTTGGAAGCAATAACCTCTGTGGGAGAAGTTTCAACCAAGCAGTGAGAAACCAAAGCAAGCAGGCTGCAGCATCAATGGGGATGCCCACAATGCACCACTGCTCACCAGACTTACCTCACATCTGGCAAATTTCCTCATCTGTCAACTCATCAAGCTCATCAAGCTTGCCAGGGCCATCATTACTGGAGTCTACAGCACCATTGTTGATGATCTCAAACTCTGAACTCTGGCTAACATGGTTACTCTCATCTCCTTGAGAAAAGTTGGTAATGGCACTGAAATCCCCCTTGAAGCCATCAAAGCTGTTATCAGACATAATTATCAAGCAAAAGGAAGGACTGGAAATGAGTGTGAGACATCATAGAGAGGCTGAATCCCACAAGATGATTTTTCTGATTTTTTCGATTTTTTTCATTTTTAATGCATGTTTGTGCCACTCAGACAAGAATTTCCAAAATGGTTGTAGAGTGAGAACTAAGAAAATCAACAAAACAAAAGAACTCCCCCACATTGACTTGGGCTTTGGGCATACCCAATTATTGCCAAAGCACATGAGGTGATGGCAACAGAGAGCAAGACAGTCACAACTGTGCCCCCTGGTCTCACTCTCACTTCCTTCCTCTGGGTGTAATGATACACAAAATCTCATGTGAAAAGATGCTTGGACTAGATTTTGGTGGCAAAAGGTGGCTCACCAACTGCTTCATCCTTTCAACCCACCGCTTTGTGGAGTGGTGGAGTATGTTGCTACCCATATTCATCCAGTGGGTTTGAATATGTTGTGTAAGCAGGAAATAATTGGGCAGGTTGTGGAAAGTGGTGGGTTGACTGTTGAAGAAAATATTATCAATATTGCAGTTGAAGCAGTTCATTCATATTTTGATACATTGTAACCTGTGTCATACAACTTAATCACTTGGTTACTCCTGCCAGGCTGTAGAAACATCTGTAGGCTACCACAGAGAGATGATCCAGGCTGGACCCAATATGAGTCCTTGCCATGCATGGGTTTGTGGATGGGCAAGAAGCTACACTAAAAAACTAGATCATGCAGAGAGAATCATCATCCAAGACCATGAGGTAATTGGTGCTATGAGTCTAATGTGGAGCCTTATTCAGTCTGTGGTGCCACTTGAGATTACTGAGCATGTGATGAGGTGCTTGGTGGATACATTTCTTCCAACCATTGCAACAAGGGATGTTAAGGCAGGTGAGTACCAATCAGTTAAGATCTTATATCAGCAACTTGACAAAATTTCTGAAAGCCTGATTTCCTTCTGACATGCTGAGGATCTGAGAAACTGAAGTTCTGATTTCACATCTGATATTCTTATGACCTGAGAAAATCTGATATCAGAAATTATCAGAAGTTCTCAGATTTTGTCAGACCATCAGACCACAAATTCAGAACATTAGAATTTCAGATATCAGGTTTGTCAGATCATCAGAATGTCAGAAGTGAAAATCAGAGCTCTAGAAACAAAATTAGTGTTTCAGAAAATTTGTACAAGTTGCTGATGTATCACATCTGTTTACACTGTATTTATAGGCTCTGGGTTTCAGATTTTATTAGATGGGCAAAGCATGCCCCTCCCAAGACCTATCTTGCTTGTGGCTATGTTGCATATTGTCAAGTCTGAGATTCTGGGGACAAGACTGGTCTGGAGTCCAGTAGTAGCATGAGACTGAGAGACTGGGAAACAGATGGGAAACAGGGGGAAACAGAAGACAGAGGGTGGACTGGTTGGACTTAGCAACTGAGAGTGCAGTGCTATTCCCTGTTGTGGGCTACAGTCTGAGTCTGAGGCTGAGACAGGATTTCAGATGAGACTTAGTTGATTTCAGACTGAGGGTAGAGGCTGAGTAAGACATGTTTTTTTTTTTTGGTTAGGTAGGAGGAAAACTCATAAGTGAGTACCGGTTGTCAGCTCCGGTGATGTCAGGTTGGGGTAACCGTGCTAGGAACAGCATTGCGCTCAAGGCATCGAAGGGGCCTGACTGACTAAAAACCTCCCGGTCAATAACACAGACCCTGACAAGGGGACTGCTGACCGCACAGGGAGCCAATCCAGAGGGGTCAAAACGGTCGTACGCCACATGTCCTGGTGCGCCTTTGCCACCCTCTTTGGGGGATTACCTCTGATTTGTATACAAAGGTGTCAGGATTAAGCAAGGTGTCTGGCCGAATATCTATGCCAACGGAAACCTCCTGCAGCAGGGCCTAGACCAAACAGCTCCCTTCAGTGCCCCGGGGTTGTACTCCTGGCTGTGCATACCTCTAGGTTTTCACTGATTGTTTTTAGTGTCAGCTCAGGGAAGCTTGACACCCATCCTTTGGATGGAGGGGGTGGACTAGTTTCACTTTGAACACCTGATGGGAATTTCACCCATATAACTCACTTCTTAGGCAGTGGGGCAGCCTCCACACCAAGCCTCTGGACCTCGTCAAGGTCTAGTGAGGGGAAAGTCCATCTCCCACCAGAGGGAGTAAGACATGTTTATATACTAGTAAAGAAGTTGTTGAGTATGCATTCTGGAATTATGGTAATGTTTTGGAGTTTCACCCAGAGTGCTTGGAGTTTTTCCCCAACCTTTGGAATTAAATTCTGATGTCACTGCACTGACTAATTATGGTACTATAAATTTTCCATGCTGTTACTTTCCACCTCAGGGATTACTTCTCTAAATTATTGACTATACTGCAGATTTCATCCTCACTTGACTGGCTGCAGTGGGCAGATATAATGCTATTTTGTTCAGACATATCATTATCTTTGTTTGGGCATGTATTGTTTTTGTTCAGGCAACTTGTAATTTATGTTTCAGACATGTTGTATTCATTACTCAGACATATTACAAACATGTACAACATAAAGTAATATTTGTGTAAATTCAACATCATAGGATGAGGGTCAACAGAGAGATCATCAGCAATATGCCAGTAACACTGCCCATCAGAAGCACAGGAAATAGGGGTAAAATACCCTTTTGACTTATTGTTGCAGCAGACATATCCAAATTTGGCTGGGGAGGGGTGGATCACTTTAAGAAGCATAACCATACTTAGACATATCTGGGAGCCACTGCTGGGGGTGGGGTCTGTCAGATGCATTGTTGCTGTCACAAAATATGTGTCTAACAGACCACCATCTCTCCAAAAAAACTGCTGCAAAGGGTAAAATGGGATCTGCCTTAACTTTTCCTCATTGACTGTAACTGTACTTCCAGCAGGGTCTCTGTATGTTAATTGTAACATTAATACCCTCCTGATGCAGTCCTTGTTGCAAGGTAATGTGAAGTATGGTTTTACCCTCAGGTGATCAGGCTTCAAGACTGGGTGACAGGGGCTAAGTCTGGCTGACTAGTGTCAAGGCCAGGAGACAGGGGCCAAGTCTGGTTGGACTGGAGTTAAGGCTGGAGGTCAGGGGTTAAGTCCAGGGGACCAGACTTAAGACCTGGAGCATGGGAATAAGGCCAGTAGCATGGGAAACTGACTGGCCTTGGAGCATGCACAGGGGGAAGCTGGTCTGGGGTTGGATCTACCTCCCTTGGTCTCAGCTTATGTGCTGTACCCTTATGCAAGCCAGGGAGAGGTCCAGGACAGGGGCCAGGGATAGCTTAAGGCTCAGCCTTAGCTATAGAGTAGACTTCAGAGGGTAACACAGGACTGAGGGTAATACTTAGTTGATATTCTGACTGAGGTGCTATGAAGTATGTACAGGGGTTAAATACACAAGGTCAGTCCAGGGTAATGAACATGAAGCTGGACTTGTTGATAAGCTATTAGAAAGGATGATTAGCAAGAGAGGATAGCCACAGAGGCTGTGCCAAGACTAATAGTTAAAGTCTGGGTGACCAGCATAACTGGAGTCAGACACAGGTTTCATACAGTAAGCAAAGATCAGCAAAGGGGACTAGACTAAATATAGTACAAACAATGGAAAACAGACTGGAGTTATGTCTGGGTCACCCAGACATGGACCATGGGAGGACCTAGGGTGGAGCAGCACAAGGCTGGTGTCACACACCAAAGGTGTTGTGGACATGGTCACAGCTGACTCTGCCTAACTCATCAACAAGTTGTGTGCAATGCCCATGAATGCAGATGAGGACTAAAGGCCTCATGCATAGAAAGACTGCTGGACATGAGCAGTCATCCTTTGCACAAGAATGAGTTGTCAGTGCTAAAGAGAAAAGAGGAAGCAAGTTAAGCATGCATTAAAAGTTTTTAGTGCCCATGTATGGCATTGTAGTTTTCATTGTATCTCCACCATTTCCAAAGATATCAACCCCATTCTCACACTCACTTAAAGTGCTCAGCCATGCAATTCTGCCCTCCAAATTTGGAGAGGATCCTCACACCCTACACATTTCTACAGCACTCCATCCATCAGATGCTCATTTCACTAAGTCCATCAATCATGGCCACCTCATCATCAATCATCTTGCTTGTCTCATTTGCCAGAGACAGTGGCTACATATATCTGCCAGGCATTCCCACCAGCTTCTGTCCTGAAGCCCCCTGGTTCATCCCATCATTGTCAGCCCCATCCCATCCCATGCAGCTTGGTCAGCATGTTCTCCTTGTCAGTATGACTTCCAGAAGGACATTCTTTGGTCACCTCAGGTCTGTCACTTGGTTAGAAAGGTCTTATGTGGTTGTTTTGGTCTCCCCTCTTGATGAAGCATATGGATTGTTCCTCCCTGCTCCCTACACTATCTTTATTCCAATCTCATCCATCACTCTCCCCATATTGCAACAGCCACAGCATGATCTGCATGTTCTCTGCCCTCCCTGATCACATTCATGACAAGTATGACATGTGTCTTGCCTTCTTGCTGCAAGATCCAGCAGAAGACATCCCCCCTTCTCCTCCTCCATCAGAGCCCCATTCATGAAGCTTTTGTTAACTTCACTGAGAGGATGAAAGGGTGGGAGATGCAATCACTCATGCTCCCATTGCCCCACAGACCCCCAATGCCCTAGCCCCTTTGACACCTGACTCATGCCCTTCAATTCTGGAATTAATACTTCCCTATCTGGAAACACCATCCATCTGTCATGCCATCTTTGGATCTAGAGAAGTCTCCACCAAGATCTGACTTGCATTGCCACCCCCTAATGTGATATCAGTGCACTTACTCAGTTTCTGACATTATTTGACTCATTCATTGCCAATATTTACCAATCCTCCTTGCTTGCTTACTTTTCATGTCTCACTTACTCACCATGATTACTCAGTCCTTACTCATTACTTACCAAGCATTTGTGCCTTGTTTGTCATAGGCTGCACTCCCCCCACACTATATAAACCCCCATGTACTTAGCTACAACCCAAGTGAATCAGAAGTCACTCAGCAGTCAGTTCAGCTCTCTCAGGCATAACTTGTTGTTGACAGTTGAGGCTCATTTGGAAGAGTCTATCTGTCTTCATTCATATCATTGGTAGTTGAGGCTCCACAAAAGGGGCTATCTGCCTTCATCAGTATCATCAGTGCTTAGTCAGCAACTTTCACTTAGTCATTCATCTTCTCCTGTGTGACTCATCAATGACTTGTGCTAGGAGCATGTCCTATTGAAGCTCATCACTTTACTCAGTGTCCCTCTCCCAGTCATCATCCATCCATCCCCTCCTGTGTAACTCATTGCTGACTTGTGCCAGGAGCATGTCCCATTGAAGCTCATCAGTCTATTCAGCATCCCCCTCTCAGTCAGCATCTGTTCATCTTCTCCTGCATAACTCATCAGCAACTTGCACCAGGAGCACCTGCCATTGAAACTCCCCTACTTTAGATTTTTCTGCACTCCAGGTTCCACAGAGGCAAACCACCACTTGCTCACACTTGTCTTTGGTGTTGGATTTGTTTGGTTTTCACCAGCTTTCCACACTTTGACTCACACCAGGAGACCAGAGTGGACTGGAGATACAGGTAAAACACCAGACTTGAGTTATTTAGGCCATAGTTGGGTTATTTAGGACCAGAGTTGTGTTTTCTAGGCCAGACTAGGACTGGACTTAACCAGAGATAGGGGCTAGTGGTCTGGAGTGGACCAGGCTTGAGTCCAAGGGTCATGGATATGACAGGCAATCACCCTCTACAGTGTTATGGTTACTGATGGCAAAGTTCAGGAAGAAAAATCACATTTCAAGATCATGACTACCACTAGTAGTGCTCAGAATATCATCATAAAAGCCAAAACTTATTAAAACTTTCCTTTCTTGCCATAACATAAATCAGATTAATGCACCAAAGAAACCCATTTCCTCCCTGGGAGGTATTCAGTAGTAGTTGATGTCTGCACAAATTACTATTGTATTATGGGCACACTTCACCATAAATGAACTATCTAAGAGGAAGGAAAAAAGACCATCCAACCGGTATTTCCTCACAAGCATCGTCTCCCTTTCTTCTTCTACATACGTTGGTCATCCGCAGGGGCATAAGGTTCTACCAACATCTTGCTGAAAGCTTTCAGCTTCTCCGGGCCGCGAACCTCTTCCGTCAGAAGAGGAAGCTGTACGATGTGGAAGAATTCGTCGTAGAGTTCGTGTGCTTCTGCGAGGTACTTCTGCTGCATCTTTTGGCGGACCATGCAGTGTTCGCAATTCGAAGCTGGTTCGGGTAGGTAGTGATTAGTTTGAGTGTATAACAAAGACGGAAGGAGGGGAGCGCCAACTGACATTTCTTCGGGAATAATAATTGGTTGACGACGATATTGTGCGTGTCGATCTCGTATGTCGTGAGCTCCTGCACGAGACGTTCCGTCTCATACAGAGACAAGAATTCGGAAATGCAAACACAGACAAAGGTCGTCTTTTCCTGTATCCAAAGGCGAAAATTTCAGTATACCCACAACAAAAGAACGAGGAAGATGGAGCAGCACAGACCGGATCCTTGAACTGCGCGTTGACTTCATTAATAACAGCCCGCATCGACTCGAGCTTCGCAAACATGTCCTCCTGTGAATCCTGCTGACCGCCCATCATCGATGACATCTGTCTGAACATCGGACCGAATTGACCGCTGAGACTGCTGAGTTTTCCGAGAGCCTTTTCCAAGACAGTTGGGAACGAGAGGAAGCGGAGGGTATGCCCGGTTGGTGCGGTGTCGAAGACGATAACGGAGTATTGCATGGATTTCACGTGTCTGTACAGGGCGGAAGGGGGTTAGTCGCAGATGAGTTTATCTATACGTGTAACAACTACAGATGAAGGGATGTTACTGACTTCATGATTTCGGCGAAACTCATGGCTTCGTCGACGCCAGGAATAGCAAATGCGAGATCTTGGATCATTGAACCCATCATACCATTCTGGTCGGCTTCCAGAAGAAATGCAATTAGCATCCAATACACACGCGTCATGCAGAGAGTAAGGAATACCTACACTGTTCGATCATCTCCTGGATCGCACTGGTAGGGTCGATCTCCATCGCATACAAGTTCTTGAATCCGTTGACTTTTGTTGCGTCTTTGGAGAACTTTTGACCGAAGGCGTCCGAGAGGTTATGCGCGGGATCCGTCGACTACGTTCGATATGTTCGTGTGAGAGGGAGGTAGGCTAATAATACGTTTATGATCAGACGTACGATGAGAAGGACGGATTCACGGCATTGGGCCAGCTGTATGGCAAGTGAACATGAAGTGGTGGTTTTGCCTGTTATCATTCATCATCTAATGGGTCAGATTGGAGGTGTGTGTGTTATAGAGTGGACTGACCGACGCCTCCCTTGCCGCCTGTACACGTACAAGGGATTGTGTGAGCGGAGTCGGACAGATGCAGTCAGCTGGACGTACCGCAGAATATCCACTTGAGAGATTTTTGGTCGAGGACGTTCTGGAGCGTCGGTGCTAGCAGCTGGTCGTCAGTCGTATCAATTATAGTTTTCATCGTCTTCCAATGGTCAGTTCAGTCGGTGGGTCCAAAGTAGGAAGAGGGGGACGTGTACCCTCCGCGCCACACCGACTGCTGATCACGTATTACAGGAGTGGTCACGTCGACCATGGCCGATACCAAAGTGTCCTTCCAAGGTGCGATTTCCATGCAGACACGCCCTTCCTGTTGCTTTAAAATGACGCCTTTTCAGCACTCCAGCTCGCCAACGAGCACCGCAGTGCGTACGGTCTCAGGTACAACGATGTCACGCGGTACAGAAAACACTGTGCCAATCGAACGCACCGACTCCGGTCGACGCTGAAAATGACCCATGGAAAGGGACGCGAGTTTAAGAAGATGGCACCTTTGACGACGGATATCGTCAGAGATGGACAGTAAGTCTGGATGGCTAAAGCTAATGCTCGTTCTAAAAATCTCTTCCGATATCGGGGACCTATTTAGTCTTCAACTGCTCCTCTTCGAAGCCGAACGTGCATGGGCGTATGCACAGGATCTTATCGCACAGTCAACACGGCCAGCTAATGAAGGCCATGCAGGAACGCTGCGTCACAGCGCAACCGGTCGGTTCCGGAGATCCGTCCACTGGGCCACACAGCTCCTCTCGCACTGTCAGGCCCTGTATGCATCCTCACGTCTCTCGGCGGAAAACCTCATCCAGGCGACCGTGTACACGCTGATTCTGAATGGCCGGTTCTTGCGCTATCGGGACGATTTTGAGGATGCGCTCGTTCAACTGAGCGTTGCGAGGTATCTTTTGGATGAGTTGGCTGATCGGGCGGAGACGAGCAGAGATCAGGCACTTGCTACGCTGTTTGCGGATGAGATCGGTCCTGAGATTAGGTATTGTGCTCACGAATTGGGTAGGGAAAAAGCTTACGATGTCGATGCGATCGTCACCGAGTTGGCCGGAAAACACGGGAATGATATTGTAGAGGGGTGCGAATCTTTACTGCAGAAGCTGAAACAGGAGGGCGATATATCGGGTCGTGGTGAGGCGAAGAAGAAGCTTCAGGTTTTGATGTGGGAGGGCCAACCGATTCCGGTGCGCAACCCGGAGCTCGTGGATGTGCTGTTGAAGGTGCAAGAGGCGGAGGCGAAAATTTCTGATACCTCCCGCGATGCGACGGAGAAGCAGGGTGATAAGAAAAAACAAAGGGGCAAGGGTAGAAAAGGCACTGGATCGAAGAAAGGTGTTGCGGCTTATGATGGAGTCCTTTCTGCCCTCAGCGATGCAGAGGAAGTGGCAAGAAAGCTCGTGGAAGCCCAGCAGGTATGGGACTGTTTTCTACGTGCTCAGCGATCGACTGACTTTGACAGAGTACTAACAATGCGGGGACGTCTGCAGCTGGCACGCGTGACGTGCAGTTCGTGCATGCTTATATCGTTTTCCAGCTGCTTTCTCGTCGTATCCAACGAGACCTGTTGCTGGTTTCCGCATTGCTCAGTTCACACCAGCCCGCTGCCGCTCAAAATACGTCGAAGGCAAAGAAGGAGCAGGTGGATGGGAGGTTGTACCCAGCGGTAGTGAAATTGCTGGAGACAGTGATTCAGAGTTTGACTCAAATGCGAAGTCTGAGTATCGTGGATGAGAGCCCCGAACTTGCCTCTGCTGTCGAAGCGAGATTGACATTCACAAAAGCCCGACGGTAGGTTGTTTTCTGTGGAAGGGAGAGACCCAGGGTACTCATGCAGGTATGAATAGATGTTTTTACTTAGCGCAGTGCTATATTGCTGTGAAAAGGTATGCGGAGGCGATGACGCTCATTCAGCATGCTACGCTTCACCTTCGCGAGACGCGGTCTACGTTATCTACTGTTGCTGGTGTCACCACTGCGGTGGACGTGTCTTACCTCCTGCCCTTGGGTGTGGTCGATGCTCTAGATGCATCGATATCCGAGGCCTCGCCGAATGTCAAGAAAGAGTGGTTTGCGTACAACGGGGGTACGGTAAACGGAGACCCGAAAGCGCATCAAAAGCCCCTGTTCTTCGACATTGCGCTCAACTACGTGCAACTGGATATGGACAGGCTACTGGAGCGTGCTGGGAAGATGCCGGTCAAGCAAAACAAAGAGGAGGTACCTCAGCCTGTCAAATCCAGACGGGAGGAAGTGGTCAGAGCAGAGACGCCTGAGCCTTCTGCGCAGACCCGGGCTGGACTGAGTGGACTGCTGGGAGGATGGTGGGGACGGAAGTGATGATGACCTAATACGCTGTATCACGTGACAGATGAATAGGATGTTTGGGTGTGTTTGTTGTTGGCGAAGACCTCAGCCTGTCCCGCCTGACTGAAAGAGAGAGAAGAGAGAAAACAGACGGGAGAGTTGTTTGCGATGGCTGCTGCGAGTCAAATGCCGTTCCCAGTTGGCGGCGGCAGTGTCAGTGCACGTCAGAATGTCTCCGCGCCAAAGGACAGACTACAGGCACTCCTCATGGTAGGTCCTCAACGCAAATACACAACCGGGAACTAAATACAGGAAACAAGCGGGTGCGAGACCTCAAACAGGCTGGCCATACGCCAGAATCTTCGAATGAATTGCGGACTCTACTCAGCTGCGTCTCCGCACTCGACCAACATCAACAACATCAACTAAGCAGTCAGTCCCATGCCCCTGTACCATTTACACATGCGTGCAACTGTTTTCTTGAAATGGTTTGGAGAGAAAATAAGTTTATATGGCTCTCCCCTATCCATGCAGTTGGTTGGCATGAATACGCACGTTTTGTATATGAATTACCCATGTCATATCAGCTGGTTTTATTATCCATGTATCATTGATACTTGTGTGCAGACGCCCAACCAGCTCATGGCACACTGTTCCAGCCTTAGCATCCATAAAATAATACTCAAACAATATACTACTGAGTTCCTTAAAAATCCATTTTCCTTGCATCAAATGATATCCAGATCAGCAACTGCTTATGAAGTGAACAGACCACTGAAACAATGAATATGCAAACTTCATTGCAAGAATTTCAAATCATTGTAATACATCTGTCAAAAGTACAATGTGTCCATGTCAACATCAGTCAACTGTCTTCAAACACTTATGCCATTTATCCCCATGAACCATGTGGCTCATGTCCAGTTCTATACAACAACCATTGGGAATCACAGCTATGCTGCAACCTGTGTGAAAGGGCCTCCAGAATGTTGGAGGTAACCAAAGCAGCAACCTTCCCTTTGGACCTCTGATCCAACCATCAGGATGAAGTTTCACTTGTTCAAATGGTTCCTCAATGTCCTGTGGCTGGACCCCATCAAGGAGTTGTTCACTGTCATAAAGTGCATGTGAAGGAACTGAAGAAAAGCAGATTTGATGAGTTTTACAGGCTAGAAATTACTCCAGTAAAAGTCACAACACATAAAAACTGGAAAGTCCTCACCATTTGTATCATATGCTGATAAATTCAAATTTTGCTGGTTGGTGATATTGTCCTCAAATGGCTGAGTATCCCATATCCTAATGGTGTGGTCATAAGAGCCTGAGATGATCCTCTTGCCATCAGGGGAAAATGCAACTGTGGTCACTGAACCAATATGCCCCTGGGGAAGGCTGTAGAGCTGTACACCTCTCTTGGCATCCCAAACCCTCACACTCTTGTCACGTGACCCTGAAACAATCCTCTTGCCATCAGGGGAGAATGCAACAGACCAGACCCAATCATCATGCCCCTGGAGAGAGCTGCCAATCTGTATGCCTCTCTCAGCATCCCAAACCCTCACAGTCCTGTCATATGACCCTGAGACAATCCTATTGCCATCAGGGGAGAATGCAACTGACTTGACCCAATCAGTATGACCCTCAAGAGGGCTGCCAACCTGCTCACCACTCCCAGCATCCCAGACTCTCAGAGTGTTGTCATTTGACCCTGAGACAATCCTCTTGCCATTTGGGGAGAATGCAACTGAATGCACCCAATCAGTGTGCCCCTGAAGAGAGCTGTAAATCTGTACACCTCTCTGTGCATCCCAAACCCTCACGGTCCTGTCATATGACCCTGAGACAATCCTATTGCCATCAGGGGAGAATGCAACTGACTTGACCCAATCAGTATGCCCCTGAAGAGGGCTGCCAATCAGCCCACCCCCCCAAGCATCCCAGACCCTCACAGTGTTGTCAATTGACCCTGAGGCAATCTTCATGCCATCTGGGGAGAATGCAACTGAATGGACTCGATCAATATGCCCCTGAAGGAAGCCACCAATCTGCACACCTCTCCAGGCATCCCAAACCCTCACAGTATTGTCACTTGACCCTGAGACAATCCTCTTGCCATCAGGGGAGAATGCAACTGAATTGACTGATCTGGTATGCCCCTCTAAGGCTAGCTGGGCAGCCATCCACTCCTTAAGCCCTCCTACAGGAACTCCAACAACACAAGAGAATTTTGGTATGAGCACTCTTGACAGCCTTGTGTTTGAAGGAGCAAGTGGCAATGCAGATATGTAAAGGTGTGGAGCACTGTGAGAGACTGGACTGCCAAAGTTCTGAATGAACTTGATCCCATCTTGTACCATTTCTAAAGTATCCTCAAAGCCCACCCAGTTCTTGTAATATTGTGTTAGGAGATGTTGTGTGAATCCAACTATAGAGTACTCACCAGTAGCCATGATGCAGTGTAGACAAGAGCATCTATAGCTCTTCCAAATTCACCAATAATGCTCAAAGTCTCCAGCCAGAAAAGGATTTTTTCACTCCCCACAAAGGTTTTTAATAACTCTGCAAGATCTGGGTCAACAGTGGTCTCCTGCAGATGTTGGGCCCAGAATTGGCAAGAATAGGATAGACGGGGTGTAATGTACTTGCTGATTCTCTCTTGTAAATCAGGTACGTCAGAATTGCTGAAGTAGGAGCTGTCCAATTGGCAAATGTTGAATTGCAGTTCATCACAGAGAGCCTTCAATAGGTAAAAGGCCGGAGCGCGTTGCCCGAGTTTCCCGGAGTTGAAGTGCGGCCACATCAGATCACTCAGCATCGTGATATAGCCATTAACAGTGGCCCGTGTTTCAGAGGCAATGTTCTTCCCCGGCCTTTTCCCTGGGAACGAATCGCATCAATTTGTAGTGCCAAGAGGGGTACATTAAGACTCACCGAAGCTCTTTGTTTCATGATAGTTTATAATGAACCGCACAGCTTTATTTATCACCTTAGCAATCTTCGCAAGGGTAACAATCACATCGATTTTGTTGATGTTATCTTCCCCCGCAAGGAATTTGTAGACACTCCTGATCGTTCCCAAGAGATCAGACACTGGGTCGCTTGGCTCGCCTGGCTTTAGATTTTCTTGTTTCATGAGCAACTACGAGCCACCGCGTGAGATGGCAAATGGATACATGACTGGAAACTCACCTGAGAAGCATCTTTCAAGTTTCCTAGCGCTACCTGAGCAGAGGGGTGGTCCTAGGGCATGATCGTTGAATTGAATGAACGGAAAATTAGAATAATTACCTTGGAAAGAGTCGTGACAACCTGATTGAAATCTTGGAAAGGTTGGAAATATGGATCGGACGAGTTTGGGATATCGGTTAATGCCGTGTTGGCATCGTTGATGACGAAATTGACATTGCGTTCGCCAAGACGTGGCATGGGAACCATACTGTCGAATGCTTGTGCTGCATCATCGACGTCCTTTCCTACCACAGCTGAGACGTGTTCTAGTTCTGCACTGTCAGTTACTACTTTATTCTGTCCAATGGGACCAGTGGTGAGCATCCTTTCGGTCGGGGGTAGCAGATCACACACGTCCTCAGATGGAACTACCAGGGGTTGCCCCTGCTGTTCCTGTGTTCCCCCACCCGCACTTGTACCGACCTCCGCTGAAGCGACGGAACTTGGTTGACTGTGGCGGTAACGGAGGGAGTGCCTCATTCTGGAAAGTGTCCCCCGAAAAGCATTGCCCGATGTTTCAGTCATGGAGGTGCCTGGAACCGATTTTTCGCTGTTGATAAACACCATCAACCGGAAGGAATGAACTAGCGTACCGAAAAAAGGTTAGATGTGGAACGGGGTTTCCCAAAATCGAAGAGACGGTATTTCTTTGGATGCTGGCGGGCTGTTGAGATGAGGATGTCGTGAAATTTAGCTGAAGTGGACGAAAGAAGAGGAGCTGGGCGCCTATTACGGACATGCTGTGGGCAGTACTCAGTTTGGTACACATGGCCCCTTATCACCTTATCACATCACTCAGGAGGTGCCACACGGCGGCAGTAAAAACTTGCTTGGAAATGTTTCAAGAGGAGGTGTACAGAGTTGTTATCTACAGATTTCACATCTAGACTCTCGGTAACTAGAGACTGCTTCGAGTATAAGCTCTGAAGCACCCTCTTAGGTGCCAAGGGTAGGTTGCTCCTTGATAACCTGGCTCTCTCCGTCCTGGGCCGCAAGCCATAATTCATGTCTCGATATACCTGCACGCGCGTCAAGCATGATCCTGGAGCAATGTATACTTTAGCAATTCATGTGATGCAGTAAGCCAAATGACGTCTGCTTACCGCTGCATGTGGGCCATATCATCATCCAGTCCTATTATATGTTGGGTTTTCTTAACAATCTCCGCAATTTCGCGCAAACCCCGGCGAGTTGGAACATCCGATATCGCTTCGGAATTCATGACCTGCACAATTCAAACAACACGTATGGACACAAGCGTGCCAGGCTCACCTTTGCTAAAAGTTGGTCTACCTCTGAACAGATTCCACACCAATAGAACCACAGGATCTATATAATCAACGAACAATCAGACTCAAGATTTTGTAACTTGAAATATCCGTTCCTTTCCCGTTATATCCTCCTCCAGCGATAGCTGTTCAGCTTCGTCCTCTGTTGCTTGGAGTATCGCTTGGAGTGCCTCTATCTCTTTTACCACAGAACGAAAATTAGCCTTTTTGCAGTGTCAAGACTCGAAGAGGCTACGGAACATCAGAAGGTGGTACCAACCTGATTGTAATCAGTGTAGTCTGCTTGACCCGTTCGCCTAGAACCAGGACACAAAGAACAGTAGAATGCAATAATAATAATACGAGAAATAAGTACTCACTGATTGCCTTCGGACGCATCAAGGAGCGTAGTACGAATGTATTTAGGTACCTGTTTGCAACTAAAATAGTCTCGGCCCCTCCTAGCTGGTAGTGACGCTTACCCCAACACTAAGAGTTTGTGACATGGAGATTACCTCACTCTGCGTCTTTCGCTTCTCGTGAAGGAGCCCTTTGCCAACATCTGTGCACCTCTTGAGCAAAGGGGCTGCTCGCGAGGTTTCCATCTCCGGAGGGAAGTGTCCGAAGAACTGTATCTCGCCAACCTGCATTTCGACCGTATAAGTGACGGGCTAAAGTACCGAAACAATGAATACGCACCCAGTTTCTCAGGTACTCCAAACCAAACATGGCCGAGATGTTGATCTCTTTATTCATCCGCCGTAGGTTCTCCTGACTCATAAGGGCGTGCTTACGGGTCCCAAGCAGTTTTCCAACGCACCACAGACTCGTCACAAGCTTTGGTTCCGACAAAGCGATACGGCAACTAATAAGATTAGTCAGATAAACCTAACATTCGCAGTGCGGCTAATAAGAGCAGGTACCAGTTCCGCCAAGGCGTCGAAGTGTCCTCTGGACCCCGAGGATAGTATGATTCAGTAACATTACACAACATGACCTGCTGAGGAACCACCTTATGTTTTGGTATCGTTTCCTTCTCTGTTCACAAGCCAGTCCTCTATGCCAATCATTGATACGAACTTCCCGCATGTCTCGGGATATGTTACTGCGAGAGTTGAAACTGCCATCGAAAGGATGGCCATGATCGCTTAGCTGACACGGATGGTTAGATGCGAATGCGTATAGGGGTGAAGTACCGACAGACGTATGTGTGAACTCCCGTGGCCCAGTACAACAACCGGGGCACCACTTGACGCCGATCATCACGTCGGTATAGCCCTGATCGCTGCTGCGACAGGCAATCCTTGCATCCCATATGGATCGGGGAATGTGAGCGTCCCTAACAGTGTTGCGGATGTTGCGATAGAACTCGTGGATAGGTGTATTCCACAGGACATCGTATGTTTGCATGGCAAAGTCTGTCCACGACGACAAAACTCCTTCCTTTGCACGGGATTCATCACTGCTAACGTGTGTCCATACTCGACCAAGGCAGTATCCAATTCCAACTGCAAAGCGAGATCTGGCATCATTGTTGACATAGACTAAAACAATCAGATTGTTTCCCGGTGAGAGTGTGACTGTATTGTCTGAGACCTCGCTGGGAAAGGTGCCGCGACGAGTAAATCCATGCCACGAGGTGTGCCAGTCGTCGAGCCTAAGGTCGTGGTAGCTCTCATCAGCATCGCCTTCACGAGAAAAATTGAGATAAAATGATGTAAACCCAGGCCACGTGTCATCCGCAATACGAATAGCCCAAAAAGACCTGCAAGAGTTGAGTCCGTGGGGTTCAAGGTCGATGGTGATCAGGTTTCCGAGGCGGTCGCGACACGGCAGGATGGCCTTGAAGTGCCCATCAGAGGCACCGCGATGGGGTATGACGGGCAACGACACTTGGATGCCCACATTCGTGACATTGAATATAGAAAATTGAGGGGAGTTCACATGGGCCTCCATTGGTGTGTAATAATTTGAGTTCACGTGGAATCCACTCTTGCCCATGTACGCCTTCACCCCATTGACGAACTCCTTGCGATGCACGTTTTCGATGTTGTGACAGCCCTGAAAAGAGCTCGGACCAGCTGCCAGGACACTTCCCGACTGCCGAAACTCTCTCTTGGGATTCCATGCAAATATGCTGTGATCGCTGGATATCCGGATTATTTCCAGCTGCAGGCGCTGAAATGCTTTCGAGCCCTCTCCGTACAGCATCGGCATGTTCACACCGAACAAGCCTAACAGTGAATACGCCCGATCTTCCACTCGTGTCGTCGTCCGGTCAGCGGCCCAAGCCATGATCTGAGCGGTGCGTGGACGCTCCGAGGAGTCGATGCTCCTCAAAACCTGTGCGTCCTTTAAAACCTCCTCTGGAATTCGAGTAATATCCTGTAACGTGGATGTCAGGCCCTCTTTCGTCCCTATAAGCTCCCAGGACTTGTTGAAGAACTTGAGTTTTGTCGGAGCGATGAGCTCCTGGAGTGTCCAGCCTCGTGAAAACCACTCCGGCCAGCCATTAGACTCGGGAAACCTCATGAAGTCTTGTACAGCAGGAAAGGCGGGCTCGCTGACATCGTTAAGGTACACGTAGCATATTTGCGAGTTGCGGTACCACCGATACATCGAGTTGATCGCTTCCGAGAGTTCCGCACTGCTCCGCTTGTCGATGCAACATGTATCGATCCACAACCACTCGTAACCGTCGTCATCGGCTTGTTTACAACTCTTGAGGATCTTCTGGTAGCCATCGCGCCGCCTCACCGCGTCCCTATCTTGCTTGTCCATCTTCAGGAGTCCAGTCATCTCATCGTAATCAATCTCCTTTCCCCAGCGATGTGATAGTATTGCATATTTTGCAGTCTTGTCATCATGTTGCTCCAAGACCTTGGTTTTGGGTTCGGCAAGCTGGATGTCCCTTTCTCGATCGAGAACGGCTCTTACATTTAACAGCCACATTTTCCTAAAAGGTGAACACAAAAGCTTGAGCAGTTGACGCCAGGTCAACAATTATAGGTCATCACACACGTACTGCCTAGGTGTTTCAAGTGGTCGTTCAGATAGTGAGCTTTATGGGCCGGGCGAAGAGCAAACGGAGCGCTTGAAATAACCGCAGGTTTTAAGGAAAGACACGTGTGGAACTTCAGACTCGGTCGCAGTGTTATTCGGTAGCCATACTACACAGTAATAGCTTCTGCCCTGAATGATGCAGAGGAGATGGCAAGAAAGCTCGTGGAAGCCCAGCAGGTGTGGAACGGTTCTACCTGCTCAGCGGTCGACTGACTTTAACAGAACGCTCACAATGCGGGGACGTCTGCAGTTGGCACCCGCAACGTTCAGTTGATGCATGCTTCCATCGTTTTCCAGCTACTGTCTCGTCATATCCAGCGGGCTCTGCTGCTGGTTTCTGCAGTGCTCAGTTCACGCCAACCTGCTGCTGTTCAAACCCACGCCGTCGAGGTGAAGATGGAGCATGTGGATGGTAGGTTATACCCAGTGGTAGTGAAGCTGCTGGCGACAGTCGTGTAGGGTTTGACTCAAATGCCAAGTCTGAGTATTGTGGATGAGAGTCCTGAAGTTGCCTCTGCTGTCGAGGCGAAATTGACATTCACGAAAGCTCATCGGTAGGTCGTTTGCTTTGGAAAGGAGGTACCCGCGGTGGCTGATGGAGATAAGAATAGGTGCTTTTATCTAGCGCAGTGCTATATTGTATGCAGAGGCGATAATGCTCGTTCAACATACTACGCCTTCACCTTCGCGAGACGCGATCTACGTTATCTACCGTTGTACAGTCGATGGACCGGACACATCGATTTCTCAAGCCTCCCCGAATGTCAAGGAGTGGTTTGCGTACAACGGGGGTACGGTAAACGGAGACCCGAAAGCGTATCAAAAGCCCTTGTTCTTCGACATTGCGCTCAACTACGTGCAACTGGATATGGACAGGCTACTGGAGCGTGCTGGGAAGATGCCGGTCAAGCAAAACAAAGAGGAGGTACCTCAGCCTGTCAAATCCAGACGGGAGGAAGTGGTCAGAGCAGAGACGCCTGAGCCTTCTGCGCAGACCCGGGCTGGACTGAGTGGACTGCTGGGAGGATGGTGGGGACGGAAGTGATGATGACCTAATACGCTGTATCACGTGACAGATGAATAGGATGTTTGGGTGTGTTTGTTGTTGGCGAAGACCTCAGCCTGTCCCGCCTGACTGAAAGAGAGAGAAGAGAGAAAACAGACGGGAGAGTTGTTTGCGATGGCTGCTGCGAGTCAAATGCCGTTCCCAGTTGGCGGCGGCAGTGTCAGTGCACGTCAGAATGTCTCCGCGCCAAAGGACAGACTACAGGCACTCCTCATGGTAGGTCCTCAACGCAAATACACAACCGGGAACTAAATACAGGAAACAAGCGGGTGCGAGACCTCAAACAGGCTGGCCATACACCAGAATCCTCGAATGAATTGCGGACTCTACTCAGCTGTGTCGCTGCACTCAACCAACAACAACAACAACAACAACTAACCAGTCAGTCCGTTTGTTTCTCTCCGCACGGCGCTTGTCTTATACACGCTTCGCAGACTCACATCAGCCCATTCTCAATGGCGCCCATTCCACTGAGCAAACAATGCTCATTAATGGCTCCGCGCCCCAGTCCATCGTGTCGGGTCCAGTGCCCTCTGTCCCAATATTGCCCCCAACCAGCCCCGTGTCTTTCACCCCCGACCAGATCAACGCCCTCCGTGCTCAAATACAGGCATTCAAACTCATCTCCAGAGGCCAGCCCATCCCAGAACAGCTCCAACAGGCCATTCGACCCAACAGCAACGTCGTATTCGAACTCGAAAAAATCGTCGCTCCAACCGATGTTGCAACCCGCATCGTCGATGCTGCCGTCAAGACACAGAAGGGTGTTGTCCCCGTCGATGTTTCAAAGCCATCCCAGACAGACCCTCAAGTCAAGGATGAGGATATACAATCCACTTCTCACTCAAACGTATCCCCTTCCGAGCTACCCAAGGGTCCGTTCTCCGACGATGATCCCCGTTCGGGCATCTATCCATACAACGCATTCCGCATGCCATTTACACACCTCACCCGTCCCACCGACATGGATCCTTCCCTGTTCGCCACTCGGCTCCAAAGGCTGCTGATACCTTCTATCATGCCCCCCGGTCTAGACGTCCATCAGGTCATCAACGAACGAGATAGATTCATAGAGGCGCGAGTCGCTCAGCGCATTCGGGAACTCGAAAACTTAGAGGCCACCATCGCCGATGGCGGATTTGACAGCGTCGCAAACGACATCCTCGGAGAACAACATGTTAACAATAACAATCCAAACGAGGAAGATATCCACATGTCGTCGTCCGCGTCCGCATTGGACACCATCAAACATCCAGCACCAAACGCACATGGCAAACTCCGTGCCACGATCGAACTCAAGTCCCTCCGTCTGCTGGAGAAGCAGCGGACCATGCGCGCGCTCGTCGCAGAGAGACTCATCCAGGGTACGCTTCTCCCACTCAATCGAGCAGACTTTAGGCGCGTGCGCAAGCCGACGCTTCGCGATGCACGCATGACTGAGCAAGCTGAGAGAAGACAGCGGGTCGATCGTGAGCGTCGCGCGAAGCACAAACATGTCGAACAGCTCGGCGTCATTTGTGCACATGGCAGGGAGGTGCTGCAGGTGGGTCGACAAGCGCAAGACCGCATCCTGAGGTTGGGCAAAGCCGTTGCCAATTTCCACGCGTATACGGAGAAGGAAGAGCAGAAACGCATCGAACGAATTTCGAAGGAGCGTTTGAAGGCTCTCAAGGCAGACGATGAGGAGGCGTACATGAAGCTGATTGATACCGCCAAAGACACGCGTATTACTCACCTCCTTCGCCAGACGGATGCCTACCTGGATTCGTTGGCTCAGGCTGTCATTGCACAACAAAACGAGGCGGGCGTTCCCATTGAGAGTGAGGAAGGCCCGACCAGCGAAGCGACGTTCGGCGCCCAGGTGAACAAGGACCTCGCGGACGAGAAAGGCAAGGTAGATTACTACGCTGTAGCCCACCGGGTATCGGAGAGAATTACGAGGCAGCCGACGCTGCTACGCGGTGGAACTCTCAAGGACTATCAACTCAAGGGTCTGCAGTGGATGGTCAGCTTGTACAACAATAAGCTGAACGGCATCTTGGCAGACGAGATGGTAAGTCACGTATCATCGTCTATCTGTGTACAGGTCGCCCACATCGTATGACGTCCAGGGTCTCGGAAAAACCATCCAAACCATCTCGCTGGTGGCGTTCCTCATCGAATCTAAGAAACAATGGGGACCGTACCTCGTCATCGTCCCGCTGAGCACGATGACCAACTGGTCTGGAGAGTTCCAGAAGTGGGCGCCTGACGTGATCGCCGTGTCGTACAAGGGTAATCCGACACAACGTCGCAACCTGCAGATGCAGCTACGGCAAGGACAATTCCAGGTCTTGCTCACTACCTACGAATACATTATCAAGGACCGACCATTTTTGAGCAAGATAAAATGGGTGCATATGATTATTGGTGAGTGGCCAGTCTTCCGCGTGTAGTGACTTAATCGTGACGCGTGCACACAGACGAGGGACACCGAATGAAGAACACTCAGAGTAAACTGTCGCAGACCCTTTCCCAATACTACCACTCCCGATTCCGTCTCATCCTCACAGGTACCCCACTACAAAATAACCTCCCGGAGCTGTGGTCACTGCTCAATTTCGTCCTCCCGAAGATCTTCAACTCGGTAAAATCCTTCGACGAATGGTTTAACACGCCGTTCGCCAATTCTGGGACGGGTGATAAGATCGAGTTGAACGAAGAAGAGGCATTGCTGATTATTCGCCGGTTGCACAAGGTTCTGCGGCCGTTTTTGTTGAGGCGGTTGAAGAAAGACGTGGAGAGCGAGTTGCCGGATAAGGTGGAGAAGGTTATTAAAGTCCGTATGAGTGCTCTCCAGTCGCAGCTGTACAAGCATGTCAAGAAGTACAAGATGATCGCAGATGGCAAGGACCAGAAAGGGTATGTATGCGTGCATTAAGTGCAGTTTTCGTTTTCTAACAATTTTCTCATCAGCAAAACTGGGGGGGTGAAAGGTCTTAGCAATGAGCTCATGCAGCTCCGCAAGATTTGCCAACATCCATTCCTGTTTGAGAGCGTCGAGGACAAAATCAATCCTGGCAGCATAGTCGACGAGAAGCTCGTCCGTACATCCGGGAAGCTGGAACTCCTCTCGCGCGTCCTCCCCAAGTTTTTCGCCACGGGGCATAGAGTCCTTATCTTCTTCCAGATGACCAAGGTGATGGATATCATGGAGGATTTCCTCAAGATGATGAACTGGAAATATTTCCGGCTTGATGGAAGCACGAAGACGGAGGAGCGTGCTGTGTTCGTGCAGCAGTTCAACGCAGAGAATTCGGATGTCCATGTGTTCATTTTGTCCACGAGGGCTGGTGGTCTAGGTCTGAATTTGCAGACTGCAGATACAGTTGTTATGTATGTCATCATCGTCCCTTCATTTCCAGTGGTGAACCGTTTTCACTGAACATGTCTGTTTGATTGTACAGCTTCGATAGTGACTGGTGAGTTTGAATGCTGGCGGGTATCAGTTACGGGTGCCGTTGAGCTCATATTTATCTTCCAGGAACCCTCACGCGGATTTGCAAGCTCAGGATCGTGCGCATCGTATCGGTCAGACCAAAGCTGTCCGAATCTTGCGTTTCATCACGGAGAAGAGTGTGGAGGAGGCGATGTATGCACGTGCCCGGTTCAAGCTCGATATCGATGACAAGGTCATCCAGGCCGGTCGTTTCGACAACAAGTCTACGCAAGAGGAACAGGAGGAGTTTTTGGTAAGTGTATCTTGTGTAGTTTGTAGTGGTATATGCTGAAAAATGCATCTCGTCCTCAGCGCTCTATCCTCGAAGCGGACCAGGAAGAGGAAAATGAAGAGGCGGGTGATATGAATGATGAAGAGCTTAATGAGATCATTGCACGCGACGACAAGGAGCTCGAAATTTTCCGCCAAATGGATATCGAGCGAGAGCGGGAAGGCGTCGATAAATGGCGTGCGGCAGGGAATCGCGGACGGCCTCCACCGTCGCTTATGCAGCTCGAGGAGCTTCCGGAATGTTACCGGACGGATGAACCATTTGAGGCGAAGGACATGGAGGATGCGATTGAGGGACGTGGGCAGCGCCGGAGGAACGTGGTTAGTTATAATGATGGGTTGAGCGACGAGCAGTGGATTATGGTGGGTCCACTTATGGTTTGACAGGAATGTTGTTTACCCCCATGCAGGCCGTTGAGGATGGCGAGGATTTGCAGGAGTTGGCTGATCGCACGCGGGGCAAAAAGGAGCGGCGGGTTGCTAATAGGTTGCTCAAGGAATCTGAGACACCAGGACGGAGTACGCCTGCGTCGGAGACAGATGGCGGTCGTGGTGGGCGCAAGAATAAGAAGGGGAAGGGGAAGGCGCCTGAGTATGAGCCCCCTGCTGCTGCTGGTAAGCGGAAGCGAGGTGCGAAGGCTATGTCTGCCACTCCCTCCGTTAACGAGGAAGAAGAGGATGACCGTGATTCGGTATGTTGTGTTGGATGATTATTATGGTTTGTCGGTGCTGAGGATGTTTCTTCTCTCTTTTTTTTTTAGAAACGCCGGAAAACGAAGGCGCCTGAACTACCCCCGGTTGTGAAAGACAAGATGAAGAAGGCGTTTAATGAAGTTTACAAGGCAGTCTTGGCATGTGAGGATACTGACGGGCGGAAGCGGTGCGAACTCTTCCGAGAGCTGCCTGATAAGAGGGTAAGTAAAGAGTCGACGATGGTTTCCACGACCCGGATTTATTCATGGATTGTGTAGGATTATCCTGACTATTACCAGCTGATCACGCAACCCATCTCTCTCTCTATACTTCGAAAACGGATGAACGCAGGCAACTACAAGAGTATCACACAATTCAAAGAGGAGTGGAAGTTGATGTTTGACAATGCTCGGACGTACAACCAGGAAGGGTCGTGGGTATACGTCGACGCTGAGGAGATGGAGAAGGTGTTCTTTGCTACGCTCGAAAAGGTTACTGCGGGATCCGGACTTCCTGGTGCGTCACCGTCACCGAGTACGCAGTCCGGGTCGGGAGGGTCGGGTTCTGGGTCGTATGAGTCTGCGTTGACGCCTATGGAGGAGGATGAGAGGCCGGTGCTGCACCAGCAGCATGGGGGCCGGGGTCGACCGAGGGGCAGTATTCGGAGACAGATTGTGAGTGACGATGAGTATCTTACCCCTAGCGACGAGGAATAGTGTGGAATACGTGTGATCCTAACCTTCAGGGAGTTGTATTCTGATCTGTAATCTCTTTGACTTTCCTTTTCGTATAGTTTTGTGATCTGTTTGCACACGAGTTGGAGATAATCTGCTTTTATTCATAGTAGGACTTGTTGGCAACCGTAATATTTTTTTAACGACTATTGAGTCATGACTCGGACGTTGTATGCGCTGGCCATTCAGGGGCTCGAGTCACGCGTATCACGTGACCATTAATGAAGTGTGACGCGACGTGCCTCCTGCCAGGCAATACTTCCTGTTTCCCATCCACAGTCACTCACCAACGATGCCAGCAGAACGCGCGGGAGTAAGGTCGTCGGTATTTCTTGTGGTGCTGGTTGCTTACTGGACATTTAGTACTCTGTAACCATGTTTCTCGTCGATTTGTCCCCCTCTATGGGGGCGACGAGGACGGTGGAGCAAGCCCCTGGACCTGACGGCGAGTCGAGAAACGTTGAAATGTCTAATTTGGAGTGGGCGTTGCAGTTTGTGAAGCTGAAGATACAAGAAATGGTATGTTCTATGTTAATGTCGTTATGGGTTTGCCATGTTCCCGCTCCCTCCCTCCCGCCCTCGCCCGCCTCGGTCCTTTCTATATCGATTCGTTGTATTTGGCGCATGTGTGAACTTGTTCGTTTAGATATATAATGGACGCAAGACCGACCAGTGTGGTGTGATAGTGTTTGGCTCCGAAGGTGAACTCTTTTTTCCCTCTCCTTCTTCCGCTGTGGCGGATCCGTGGAGAGTTTGGGTTATTCATCTCGTTCATCATATGTGACCGACAAACAGGAACGGATAACATAATCAACGAGAAACACGGCGGATACGAACATGTGTCTGAGTACATCCCAATATGCACCCCGAGCGCGAAAACGCTTGCGGAGTTGGACAAGTTGAAGCCTTCGGAGACTGCGGGAGACGGTGAGTTGGGATGATAACATTTTCTCCTTTGAAGGTTTCGGTCTCCCTGAATGTCGAGTTGTTCCAGCCATCGACGGTCTGATAGTCGGAATTGAAACGCAAGATAATTATCTTCAGAGGAAGCCTACCTGGACGCGAAAAATAGTCATTGTCACAGACGGTGCATCTCCATTGGAGATCGAAGACTGGGAAGCGACTGTCAAGAGAATGTCAATCTTAGCTGTTTCCCTGACTATCGTGTGAGTCTGGTGATGCGCATATATTGCGGATTTCCGTCCTCATGCTCTGCTCTGGGGTAGTGGTGTAGATTTTGATGACGACGAATTACCGTATCATGAAGAGGACAAACCTGCGATCAAGGTATGTCACAACGGAATTAACATGCTTGTTTTCCCTCCTTGCTCATCGTACTCTGAAGCGCGCAAATGAATCTTTTTATGCACAACTTGTGTCTGCACTTCCAAACAACCTTGGACTCATGGGCACGCTGGAACATGCACTTCTTTCCCTCACATCCCCAAGTATCAAAGAAACCAAATCTGCACTGGCTTCAAACACACTAAGATTGGGCGACGTGGAAGCTAGGAAAGATGAGGCCCTTGAAATTAGCGTTAAGGTTGCTAAGTGCACAAACTTGGCGAGAGCTGGCGGATGGAAACGGTTTTTCGGTACTCCCATCAAGGGTGCGGATGAGGACGACGAAGATGACAAAGGCAAGGTAGTATTCAGGGAGCTGAAGAGACATACGGAATATGTCATCGACAGCGCACAGATTGAAGGTGATGGCGACAGCAAGAGAGTAGCCTCAGCCGACTTCGATGAGGACGAAGAACAAGAGGGTAAAGGCGATCGTCGCGTTGAAAAGGTCGAGAAGGAGCAACTCGTCCTCGGCTACAAATACGGGTCGACATACGTTCCTTGTCCAGATGGTCATTTCCCGAAACTTCAAACCCAACAGGGTATTGATATCTGCGGTTTTTTCCCGAAGAAAAACGTACGTTCTGTTCTGCATATTCGGATCGTCCGTGTACTATTGCTTACCGGTTGTATCTCTGGACTTTGCACAGTTCAATCGCTCCTACCCACTTTCTGAGGTCTACTATGTCTTCGCCGACCCGACCTCAGCACCTGACCAAATCGCGTTCTCCTCCGTCGTTCAAGCGATGTTCGAAAAGGGTTTTCTTGCAATTGCCCGGATGGTGAGAACTGATGGATCAGAACCGAAGATGGGTGTGTTGTCCCCAACGGTATGGCCGAAGGTGGACTTATTTCTGTGGGTGCAAGTATGTGCTTTCCGTGGTTCATCGCTACCTATCCGGAACTGAGGAAATTCGATGCAGCTGCCCTTTGCGGACGACATCAGACACTACACGTTTCCATCACTAACCACTCTCACGTCACGAACCGGAGAACGTATCACCAAGCATCCCTACCTCCCTACTGAGGAACAGCTCGAAGCAATGGGCCAATTTATTGACGATATGGACCTATCCGATGCCGGTGAGAAGGATGAAAAAGGGTGAGTTTGCACATTGTTTCGAGATAAAAAAAATGCCGATCACGACAACAGAGATCGACAACCGTGGTTTGACCCTCGCCTTTCTTACAACCCTGCTATACACCGGACCAAGCAGGCTCTCTTCCATGCTGCGGTCGGTGTCCGATCTTCTCATGTGCCCGTTGCCGCCGCCTCATCCTGAGCTTACGAAGTACTTTGAACCCCCTAAGCGCGTGCTCAAGCGGGCGAAGCAATCCCTCGAAACGTGCAAGGAGGTGTTCAAGGTCAAAGAAGGTGCGTGATAGGTTCTCACATATGAAGCCTACCTGAATTTGAGTTCCACAGTTCCAAAGAAAGCGCCAAGAGCACGGAAGGATGGTCACGTCTGCGCAGCAGACGAAGACGAGGATATGATCCTTCTCGACCGCAAAAGTCCTGCAAAGAAGCGGCCATATGCCTTGAAACCCACACCTTCCCCGGCCGGCCCATCGCAAGTACCTAAAAAGCGGAATGCCTCAGACTCAGAAACAGAGTCCGAGTCTGAAGGCGAAGGATCGCCACTCTCCAAGGCTATTCCCAGGGGCAGCCCTGGTCTGCCTACGCCGACTGCCTCGCCAGGACCTGAGTTGAACCCACAGCGTGCTCCTGGGCGCATCATTGGTAACACGTTCCCGTTGAAAGATTTCCGTACGAATCTTTCACGCGGAGATGTCGTTACGAAGGCCGTGGAAGACATGGGTACGGTGATAAGGGAGATTGTGGAGCGGCCATTTGCATGGAGAAGGAAAGATGAGATGATAGAGTGCCTTCGTGTCTTGAGGGACACGTGCTTGAAGGTGAGTCGATGCGATTTGCAAGTTGCGACGAAGATGTGATTCAAGGTTTATTCAGGAGGACGAGGTCGATGCCTGGAATGAGTAAGTGATTCCTTTGTTAGCTTTCGTCAAACCTCATGCGACCAATTTTCCAGTATTTTGAAGGGTTTAAAGAACGATTGTTCCGCGGAGACGGGAAACAAGGCGTTCTGGTCTGAGCTGAAGAAGTTGGGACGCAGTATCAGCCTCATCAGTTCATCGGAGGCAGAGGAACTTGGCGGGATCTCTCAGGTGTCTGAGTCCGCTGCCGAAGCAGTAAGCTTTCTACTTCTAAATTGCAATAGCAACGAGGCTGAACTTGGTTCCTGCGAAAGTTCATGCAAAGGTGAAGAAGGACAACTTCCCCTGCAAAGTTGTTACATTCTTGTCTCTCGCATATGGGTCAAGTACTGGTTCCTGGCCATGTTTCGTACGGTTCTCTGTATTCTGCTTCTGTAAGTTGGTCTCGTAATAAGTATGAAAACCTGTATCTCCAGTCTCGCTTTCGAACGCGATCACCATAGTTATCAATTCGGTACAGCAGGATAAACTCGGGATAGTAGCCTATAGTACAAATTGAAATGTTCCTAATACATCTCAGCGATTCAATATTCATACAGATCGAGATCCTCGACATTGAGCGACGGTTTCTCCTTCTTTGGAACCTGCTTCACAGCAACAATAGCTTTGTATGCGACATCCAGTTCTTCCGGGGCTCCTTTTTCACCACCTGGGATTCTGTCGAGAAATTCTTTGACTTGCAGTACCGCATCCTTCAGGCCGTCGATGTCACGTTTCTTATGGAATTCGGAGTCAGGGTTCAGTTTCTTCTGCAGTTCATGCCCTCGTTTAAGGGTAGACCTCCAAACAAGTGAGAAAACTTGCAAGTGTGGAGTATTAAGACCTACGATATTTCACTCCTCTTACGCCCCATTTCTTCCAAACGCCCGTGGCCTTCTTTTAGCAATAGTCCAGGAATTTTTGTCATGTTTCTAATGAATGTAGCAATGGAAATTCCCTTCTTCAGGGCTAAAAGCAAATGAGGCAAGGGTCCCAGGTACAACAGGCGATAAAACCCTTGTGCAAACCCGGAAGCTTGAGCGTGCTTTAGACAAGCGGCAAATATGGCAGGATCTCTCTCTCTCGAGCGCGGTCCTCTGCAGCCGCCGTTTCCGTTTTTGGCAGTGTTGGCGGTATACATGTTGTATTAAGCGAGCTGCAGACTCTTCTTTGTCCGTAGCGACAATCGCCGGTACGACCTGATCGTCGTCGAGAGGATCTTTCATGTCTTCAACAAGATCGTGGGTCTTCGAGTTCGCAGGTTGAGTTTCAAGTGGTAGGTCAATTTGGCCTTCTGGGTCACGTTGTGCTAAGCAGGCTGCAGACTCTTCCTCACCAGTAGCAACAACAGTCTGGACGGGTTGATCACCGTAGGGGAGAGTGTCTTGCACATCTTCAACCGGCCCGTGGCCCTTAGCATGTTCAATGCCGAGGGATAGATCAACTTGATCTTCAACTGGCTTCGTCTGGGGGGCGGTTCCGGGCTGAGGCACGGAAACTGATGCTTTTACACGGAGCAAGGAGCGTAGGGAAACCCGGAGAAGCGGTGGTATCTCGTCGAGTCGACTGTAATGAAGTTCCTCGATACGCCATCCCGTGGGGAAGCGGCTGGTCCGAAGCCTCGTTCCCTTGCAACGAAGATGAACAAGATTTGGTATAGCATGATTTTCATCATAGCCAACTATCACGCGCAGGAAATCCTCACGCGCTGCTTGTGTATATCTGCGACAGTTGGTACGTCATCACTGAGGTGTGCGGAATAGCGAAGTTACATACTTCCGGTAGATGTATGGTGTGGTCCGAGCGGGGTCATTGGATTTCATGTTGGTAATGATGCTTGAAATCCTGGCTGCGAGATCAGGGGGGCAGTTATAAGAGGCTAAAGGGAGGTTAGTAGAGTCCAGACTCGTGAAAAGCTACCCACCAAGACACAACGTCCTACAGCTAGGGTATTGTTAGTTTTGAGCAACTGGATAACCCCTATATTACTCACATCCGCGCAATAAATATATTGCGGTGAATGGGCGTAACAATTCTGTACATCAGCGAAAAGTTTTCTGCGCCAGACGTCAGCATGTCCTATTGATTAATTAGTGTAAGAATAACCTGTGGCACCGTCAGATCGTAGTTTTTCAAGGAGATATTGTATATCGTCTAGTAGGTGATTGATGAACCTGACGTCTTTATGTGCATCGAGTTTGTTGTTCCCAATTAACCAGCTACGAGGTAGAACGACATCATGCAGCGACTCCGCACCGGGGTTATTTTTAAGCCGGAGCGTTATCACAAAGGCACTAAGTGTTTCCTCTATGCAGTCGCATAGAACTGACAAGTTCACTCGGTGGTTATTACGTATAATGTGCCTACAATGTCGCTTAGGATTCAGCAAGTGTGGCAACGAAAAGAGTGGAACTCTCACTGAAGGCCAAAAATACCCGCAGAAATGCTCGTCTCTTTAAAAGATTGAATGGAGTAGATCATGTCTTCCACGATGTAATGACCTGGATGGCGGAACAATTCCACGGGGCGGTAGAGCCGCACACAATTAGCACTCCGTAGAGCATCACTTTCACCAAACACTGAGCTGAGTTTTATCAGCCGTAGTATGTCCGTGAGGAAGTCTGTAGATTTTCGAGGATGCAGGGAATAAATGGCGCCGCGAACCCAGTTTCTCATTACCCGCATGCCGTCATAAGAATTCTCGACACTTGACAAGTCAAGGTCCGCAAGAGAACCTTGCGCATGGGAAGGTGGGAAGAACGCCTCATATAAGTGGTCTATACAGTTGGCGATCTCTTCTTTTACGCTGTAGCACAAAGGTGATCAGCGAGCGGCCAAGCTATAAGCGCGATGGCTACTTACCCTTCCCATTTTCGCATGCCAGGAAATGCAGAATACTTCAGCTGCAATATACGCATCTGCTGCAGGTGAATACCAACCCGTGCGTTGTATTGTGCGGGGTCCAGAGAGGAGAGTGGGACATGCTGTTGCTTGCATCCCGCATAGTTGCAGGAACTATTAATAACAAAAGAAAGGCAGGGAGAAAAGATCTCTGCATTGTAACAAAGCCGGGTTTCAGCATTGACTTGGTGGCGGAGGTGAAGGCGCACGCGCTCTTTCAAAACGTCGGTGACTTGCCCATGAGTGTATGGTGCATCTGCTTGTGCATCATTAGGTAGGTAGACTCCGCGTTTGTGGTTCGTCAAGATGAAAGAGCCCGCTTGTAGATCGTACTGGTCCGTCCGAAAGCTGAGTTATGCCGAATAAGCTTTCTGATGTCACGTTCTCCCACCGGATCATTATGGAACGCAACCTCGTAGAGTAAATGAGAGTACACGTGTAGAAATTTCGAAGGAAGAGTAGCGAACTCTTCCAGTGTTGCAGGAAAGAGGTGAGGTAGTACGCGAAAAAAACGTGATTGAGACACCAAGAGGCAGACGTATCTTCCTCCCGCCCTATGAAGGACTGCTGCCAGCTCTTCCAGCGTTGTACGGTCAAGTTCTTCAGCAGCAGCAACAGTTTGGAAACATCTTGATCTACATAATTGAAATTCAGTCGGAGACTCCGAGTAAGCAAGCGATACTTACTTCGTCACGGACTCGAAGAGGCAAAAGATCCAAGGGGAGCTGATAGCTTAACGAGATAAGGGTTTTTGGTATTCCCGTATGGAATTCCTTTGGCGCCACTCCGAATGAGCAATGCTCCCAGAGACATCCCAGCAATATGTCAGCTGCGCGCCTCACAGCATGCTGATTGGTTTTGTCCTTGAGAAATGCCCTGATCGCGTCTAAAGGTTTACCTTCACTCAGATGCAGTTCTGCAGCTTCGACATATCTTCCCTGAGACTCGTAGAGCACCGCAAGTGCGACATCCAAGCCATAAGTCTCGAGGAAAGCTAGCTTTTCTTCGAGGGAGGAGAAAAGAGACGACGGTGGTCTGTAGGATGTTAAGTCCACGTCCACGACAAGCAGACCACCTACTTTTCGTCATCCTTACTGCAGTAGTACAGTCGACACACTGTAAGCAACTCATCCGCACTTTCACGTGACATCTTTTCCGAATGGGATTTGAGAACATCGACTGTCTTGTTAAATATGCCAGCCTTGCGGTAGCACTTGGCTGCTAGTTCATACTCCTCAGCACTCAGATATGCATCGGCCGCCTTACGATCCTCGGCGGCGCGAACGTAGCACTCCGCAGCTGCACGGTAGTACTGCAGCTTCTCACCAGGTGCCTCCCCATCACAACTGACAAACGCATCTGCCGCTTTGGCAAACGCTCGACATTGCTCGCTCGGCAGAGCAATCCCAATTGTTGCGCGAGCGAGCTCTCGGAAATGGTACGCTTCGGCAACTCTCACTTCACGGGGCATGTTGGCACGCCCAAAGCAATGCATCGCTTGTGTGTATCGCTTGTGCTGGAACAACGAGCGACCAGATTCTGCCCATTCTTGAGGGGTAGACGATACAGCGAGATGTGAGACATCGGTCTCAGGCGTACAAATTTGGATTTGAGATCGAGATGTCCAGAATATCTGTCATAACCATTAGCGTTTCCGTCGTTTTCGATGAATCACTGGAAGAGATTCCTTACCCTCATAGGCTCGCCTTTGTCCGATGTGTCGACAATCCACATGTTCTTACGTGCTCTTGTTATTCCCACATATAAGAGCTTCAGCTTGGAAGAGGCGTTAGTGGACGGAGTGGACAAATAGAAGTGGTTTCGTTTACACACCTCTCTACACAATCCCACATATCGGGTTTCATCCCTTTCAAAACAAGGCGCTTGTAGTTGGCAAGGTTTGTAGCCCTCGACTACACCATCGATGGCGGCAAGCACCAAACGCCAGCGCGATAGATCCATCGTTGAATCCTCGAAAAAGTTGTATAGTAGGACCTGCAAATTCCGGGGATCACCGTCTAATGATACAGCAAGGAGGCACTGCATGGATAGACACCCACATCATTGAACTCCAAACCTTTGCTCTCATAAAGGGTCCTACCATAATCGGCTATCAGCAGTGTTCAGATATCAGACGCATAATCGTCCTCACATGATTACTCCAATATTACCCACTTGCTGTTGGAGCTTCTCTTTAGCCTTCTCGTCGCGTACAAGAATACCTGTGAACTCTACGTGAAAATAGCAAACAACGGCATAAATATCAACCAACACTGGTCTGCGCCAAATTCAATGTGACTGTCACTATGGTGGAACGACGTTAGTGGGAATCCTGAACTGAAGTGCAACAGAGACTACATACGATGTGCCGAAGAGGAATTGCTCATAACGAACAGTATCCTTATCCCATGCAGTGAAGAAAACCGGTTTCAGACCGTCAACGACGCCACGTTCGGGCTGGAGGGAATCGATACTATTCGGCCAGAAGCGTGCAATCAACTCGATCACTGAGTGCGCGCAATTTACTATGCCGCCATGGGACCGGTAGTTGATGGCAAGCTGGAATGATGCCGGCGGGGCAACAGCCCGCTCCCTCACAACGTGGGAGGCTTGGTCCACCTAAATGCCGTGTAATTTGTGGACGTTGCACGACTCTTGCCACCTACCTCAATGCGATATAGAAATGCCTTCAAATCGTCAAACCTAAACGAGCTTCCAGCAGAAATGGTCTGAGCAGTATCACCTGCCCAGAACAGGCCTTCCGGATTGCTGCATGTAAGGCGCAAAACTACAATCATCTCAAGCCGTAGTCTCCGATTGCCACACATGAAAACATACGAAGAGCATCTATGAGCAAGTTGTCTTGTGCTTCGTCTACATAGCTGCAGCCAAATCTTCATCAGTAGCCTGTTTGTTGACACGATAAATAGCACGAACAGAAAATCCACTCGAGGCCCTTTCAACGGCGTACCGCCTAGTAGAACTTTGAGAACTGCATGTGTCCTTGTGATAGATCAATCAAAATCATGTGATACCTCTCGACGACATCAACAAACCGGTCTGCAATATCGTGATGTTGGTGATGACGCTTCAGTCTGGAGTAGGCTTCGAATAGAGCATAAAGACATTCTCTTTGATCAGAGAACGTGGGGTTTGTGCGTGATGAGAGACTACAGTAAGTGTTCTTATCCAGCGTTCCACTATCAAATTGAAGTGACATTTCTGAGCCTTTGATGATGCCTGTTGTAAATTAGTACTCCGGCTACACCACTCAAATCGACGGAAATACCCATAATCTCCCCAAACACCGGCCATGGATCTGTACACCTTGTCAGTCACAGGGACTACTGTGTAAACCAACGGCCTGACCCAGACACTTTGTAAGATGAGCCAACCGGGGCCAATACCTGTGGACAAAAACTTCATAGGTAACGAAGGAGTCAAGGACCTCCGGGTCTTGGGAACGCGCAAACAGTCTTGTTGCACGTTCAGCCCCTGGATGATCTGTATTCAAGATATCTGCTGCTATCATCCTCACCAGCTGCGGAGTTGACTATGAGCGGTGAGTTCAGTGCATATGATCAACAATACACACCCGGTCAAACGTTAAGAATAAAGGGAAGTGGTGGTCCTCGAGTTCACTATATCTCTGTGGAATGCCACTTTGAGCATCCGGGACATCGTCATTATCAACCAGTCCTCGGTACATGTTTCTCGACTTCAACATTGCAAGCTCGTCCAGCGTATATCCTGCCAGTGAAAGGGAGTCCAGGAGCTTCACGAAGTACTCCTCTACTTTGGTTGCAAGGACATGAGACTTCGTGACAAATATCTGCCTTGGTCGGGGCATGCCAGAGCCTTCAGAATGAAGTTGCCATGCCCTCTGAATTCCCAACATCTTAAAGAGCATGGTTGTTGTTTTCCTTACCAATAATAAGTGTCATACTGATCTCAGTCACACAATAAACTCACCCCGTGCCACTTCGACCCAAAACATAACATGATGTGGTGCATTCGACGATCTTGCGCTCCTGTGGACTAGTGACGCATTGGGACAAGTAAAGAGACCAAAAAAGATGTACTAACCTGAGTTCAAATACATGCTGGACGTCCTTCATCGCAATTAAACCTGCGAAAACGTCAACATCTTCGCTAGATCGTTACGAAGGGTAGCATTTCTCGAACCGTTAATTAGGGCCTGCAAAACACATCTGAGCAAGAACAAAGACAAGACGGATCAGCTCGAGCTTACCTGAGAGAAGGTGATGTATTTGTCAAGGCTACTCTATGGTGTGAGTGAACGGCAGAGAAGTCATGCACATCAAGACGTACACGAGGAGGGAATGCAGCTGCAGTTCAACGTCAGTGGCCTTGACGACGGAAGACAGCACGAAGCTGATATCAATGGACGTACTTGATCCATTTCTTGGTCACCAAGGGCCAGTGGTAGGGGCTTGACGACCACGTCGTGTACCTCGGGTGGGAATACAGCAGGCAAGTACACCTTATCTCCGGGATGGACAGGTGGGTTTCTGTACGTGCATCTGCAACGGTGAGATGAACGAACTTTACCTCCTTTTGTCAGCGTAAAGAAGGTCGAGTTACCGTTGTATATACTCTTTGCCTTTGCCGGACAAGTGGTGATTCATCGCATCCCAAATGCGATTAAGTTGAGTATGGGTGCATATCTCATATATCTTTATGGCTTCAGGTGTACCCCAGTAAGCATATGGGCATATAACGGACATGTAAGGACTACCTTGTCGCTCGATCTGAAATGATTTGAGTGCAAGAAACAGGGAGGCAGGTAATTCACTTACTTCGCCATTATGGTCTGGAACACAGTCGATTTGATACTTCGTGCTACATTAATAGCTTTATTAGGAACACTGGATGGAAACTCGTACCACAAGCCGCAAATCTCGTTGCATCTTCGCTTCAAAGATGGGCACGCCAGAGCGAGCTCCATCCAATCTCTTCTGGTTATCATCTGAAAAATGGCCATTCGAAAGTTCTCTGTGCCAGTGTCACCACACAACCGATAAGGAAAGTAGCATAGAAAATGGCATAGCACGAACTTGATCTTCTTGACTACGATCTTGAACTTATTCCCGTCGCTCCTGCGAAATTCCCTCAATTTCTTCGTCGCATTCGTCCCGATCAGAATTCTCCATTCCCCGAAACCGTCTGCACTATCGAAGTACAAGGCAGCCTTCATTGGTTGAACCGTTGGGTACGCTGATGGCTGAGTTTCCACGACAATGGAGGTGGATGGCTTCACTACGGTTCGAGGACGCTCGCTGGTACTGTGATCAGATAAAAGTTGAACATAGGCGTTCTTCAGGGGCATCGCAAGTTCAGGGCTTGAGAGTGCACTCAGATAGGACTGTCGAGAGAAGTCAACGGCAAGTCGTGACGGTTTGGAAGGTTACTCACGTCTAAATCCAGTTTTAACTTCTCCGCGATGTCGTTGGCCATTCGTCTCGCTGCTTCATTCGTAGTGGGCACAGGAACCCCAAGTCTGAAAAACAGGGCAGGATCAACAGCCGCTGCTACTTGCTTAACCCTCCGTCGCTGTTTCTTTACTTTCTGCTTGAAGAACTGGGATGTCTTCATCTACTAACTCAGCATGCTCTTCTGTGATAGAAGTTTCGCTGGCAAAATCCGCAGCAGCACAACATGGCCAGGACAGGCAAAACATTGTCCACGTATTGCCTGAACTGGCCAATGTTTTTGGACAGATCAGTAGACAGGAGGTCGGGAGGAATAGAGAACAAAGTATGGGATATCTTGAACAATAGATCCTTGACGAAGGACTGCGGTATAAGCGCTGGTTCCTTCGGAAAGGCGCTGAAAATACGCTCGACCAGCCTTTTCGAGTTGGGCCAAACTGGCCAGAATTCATGTGAGCAGGATTTCTGAGCAGGCGAACGTTACTTGCTTACCCGAGATAAGGAAACCAAAGAGGTCTGGGACAGACAATAAGCTCACGGACGATCTGCGCCACAGCGTCATCCGTGTTGGAAACTACTAACAACAGCTCGAGGTGACGAAGCGCGTCAGCAAGCCCAACAGGGTGTGCCAGACGTTCGGCAGAGAACATAGAGAGGTCTACAATGTGCACCATGGTGGGTATTGTGGAAGGAGTAGACCGTGGAAGGGACTGATGTATTCCGAGTTCCACAATGCCACAACCTCGTGTTCCGCTGAGAACCAGGTCCTGAGCTTATCAGAACCCTCAGCTGATAAGAATCAACCCAATGCAGCGCCATGGCTACTTGATTTGAACCCCCAAAGCTGTGCTTGGCTGCGGGGAAGAAGCTTTCCCGACTCAGCCAGCGCAGATCCGAGAACGACTTAAGTGAGTCTCCGCCATTCTCTAAGCATGAAAGTTGTCTGAGAGAGCCATCACACGACCTAACCAGAAACGTGCTCTTGGGGCGATGCCGGCTCTCGCCCCTGCAGCCCCCAGTACCGCCACCTGATACCTGTTCACTATGTCGGTGGCACATTTAAATCTTACCACTCCGTCGCCCTCCCACAACGGACGTCCGTCAACGCCTAGCAACTATTAGACCGTAGGCGAGCGCTTGATCCCTAGTTCTCCGATAAGCGTGACCTGATCCTCAGGCAGTACAGAGCCTACCCTTTTTTTTCTTCACTAATTCGGATGACGAAAACGAGCCGTGCTCTCGAGGCTTCCAACTGAGCACTGACCAACCATCCCGTGTCATCGAGAACGTTGCTTACATGGGAGCGATCTGACATTCGTTATCAATTCAATACAGCAGGATATCCTCGGGGTAGTAGCCTATAGGTACAGTTTCAAATCTTCCATGCCATCAGGAATCGTTTCGTTTATACAGGTCCTGGTCAGTATTCCTATGGATCGAGATCCTCGACATTGAGGGATGGTTTCTCCTTTGGAACGTGCTTCTCTGCGACAATTGCTTTGTATGCGATGTTCAGTTCTTCCGGCGACCCCCTCGCACCGCCTGGGATTCTGTGCAGAAATTCTTTGACTTGTAGCACTGCGTCCTTTAGAGCGCCGATGTCACGGTTCTTATGGAACTGCGAGTCAGGACTCAACTTCTTCAGCAGCTCGTGCCCTTGTTTAAGGGTCGACCTGCAAGCAAGTGAGAAAGCTTGCAAGCGTAGAGTATTAAGACTCACGATATTTCACTCCTATTACGTCCGAGTTCTTCCAGGCGTTCGTGACCTTCTTTCAATAATAGTCCAGGAATTTTTGTCGTGTTTCTAACGAACGTAGCCATGGTGATTCCCTTTCTGAGGGCCAGAAGCAAATGAGGTAAGGGTCCCAAGTACAGGAGGCGATAAAACCCTGGCGCAACTCCGGTATCTTGAGCGTGTTTTAGACAAGTGGCATATATGGCAGATCTCTCTGCCTCGAGTGTAGGTCTCTCCAGCAGCCGCCTCTGTTTCTCACGGTGCAGACGGTAGACACGTTGTATTAAGCCGGCTGCAGACTCTTCCTCCTCCGTACCAACAACAGCCAGGTGCGGCCTGATCATCGTCGAGGGGAGGACCTCCTACATCTCCTACAGGCTTGTCGAGTTGTGCAGAGTCAATCTCGAGACATAGATCAACGTGGTCCTCAGCTGGTTTTGTTTGGAGTGAAATTCCGGCCCGAGGCACGAAAACCGGTGCTTCCACACGGAGTTGGGAGCGTGCGACAATCAGGGGAGACGCTAAGAGAGTTGGTATCTCAGTCGAGTCGACTGTAATCAAGTTCCTGGATACGCGATCGCGTCGCGAGGCGGCTAGTCTCAAGGCTCGTTGCATGGCCCTTGCAACGAAGATGAACGAGATTCGGTATAGCATGATTCTCATCGTAGGCAACTATTACGTGTAGATAATCGTCGCGTGCTGTTTGTGCATAGCTACAATAGTAGTGAGCTCATCACTGGGATGTGGAGAACGGCAACGATACGCACTGCCGGTAGATATATGGTGTGGGGCGAGCAGGGTCGTTTGATCTCAATCTGTTCATGATGCTTGAAATCCTCCCTTTTAGGTCGACCGAAAGAGGAGGGCAGTTATAAGAAGCTAAAGGGAGTCAGTCGAGTCCAAACTCTTGATAAACTACCTACCAAGACACAACATTCTACAGCTGGGTTATTGTTAGTTTCTTCGCGACGGGACGGACGACCGTTGAATTACTCACATCCGTGCGATGAATATACTTCGGTGAACAGGCGTAACGTTCGTGTGCAACAACCAGAGATGTTCTGCACCTGACGTTAGGGTGTGTAACTATTCGAACGGTGAGAAAATAACCTTCTGTACTGTCAGACCGTAGCTTTTCCAAGAGGTACTGTATATCGTTCAAGAAGTGATTGATGTTCGTGACATCTTTACGTGCATCGAGTTTGTTGTTCCGGACTAACCAACTCCGAGGTAGAACGACGTCGTGCAGCGAGCCCGCACCGGGGTTAGTTTTGAGACGAAGAGTTATCACGTAAGCACTGAACACTTCCTCGATGCAGTCACAAAGGACAGACAAGTTCACTTGAATGTTAGTGCGAATAGCGTGGCTACGACAGAGGTCATAAAGCGTAACTCTAAAAGGAGCAGAAATCTTACCGAAGCCCAAGGATGCCCACAAAAATGCTTGCTTCGGTAGCAGATTGGTTGGACTCAATCATGTCTTCCACAATGTAACGACCTGGATAGCGGAAGAATGCCTTGGGGCGGTATCGCCGCACGCAATTAGCGTTCTGCAAAGCGTCACTTTCACCAAATACCGAGCTGAGCTTAATCAGCCTTAGTATGTCGGTAAGGAAGTCGGCAGAATATCGAGGTTCTAGAGCATAAATAGCATCGCGAACCCAATGTCTCACAACACGGATGCCGTCAGAAGCTCCTTGGATGCTTGACCACTTGAGATCCGCAAGAGACCCTTGTGCACGGAAAGGTGGGAAGAATGCCTCGTATAAGTGGGCTATCCAGTCGGCAATCTCCCCTTTTACGCTATATCACAAAAATGATCAACCCACGAACACACTATAAGCGCAAAGCTACTTACGAATTCTGCTCCCGCATCTCGGGAAATGCGGAATATACAAGTTGCAATATACGAATTTGCTGCAGATGAATTCCAACACGTGCATTGTATTGTGTGGAGTCCAGAGAGGAAAGTGAGACATGCTGTTGCTTGCACTTTCCATATTTGCAGGAGCCAATGACACTGTAAAGGAGGCACTGAGAAAAGATCTTCGCGCTATAGCAAAGTCGAGTCTCGGTATCGACTTGGTGGCGAAGGTAGGAGCGTACGCGATCTTTCAACGCATTGGTGACTTGCCCGTGAGTGTATTGCGATCCATTTGTTTGCTCGTCATTGCTAGTAGACACCGTGCTTGGGGTGGCCAAAATGAAGGAGCCCGCTTGTACATCGTATTGATCGTCCGAAAGCTGAGTTATTGCAAACAACTTTCTGAGACCGCGTCCTCCCACGGGATCATTGTGAGAGGCAACGGTGTAGAGCAAATGAGAATACGTGTAGAATTTTCGGAGGAATTAGGGCGAAGTCCTCCAACTTCACCAACTCCTCCACCGGAGAGTAGGCACGAAAAAACGTGATTGAGACACCAAAGAGCTGCAGCGTTGTCTTTCTGCTCGATGAAGGATTCTGCCAACGTTTCCAGCGCTACACGGTCAGGTTCTTCTGCAGCAGCAGTTTGGAACATCTTGATCTGAATGATTGGACGGCGGAAATTTAGTCGATGACTCCGAGCAAGCAGGCGATACTTACTTCATCACGGGCTCGAGGCGACAAAAGGTTCAAGGGAAGCTGATGACTGAAGGAGATAAGGGTCTTCGGTATCCCAGCATGGAACTCCTTTGGCGACACTCCGAATGAGCAATGTTTCCACAAACAGTCCAGTAATATGTCCGCTGCGCGCCTCATGGCATGCTGGTTGGTTTTGTCCTTGAGAAGTACTCCGATCGCATCCAATGGTTCATCTTCACTCAAATGCAGTTCTGCAGCTTCGACGTATTTTCCATGGGACTCGTAGAGAACCACAAGTGCCACATCGAGGCCATAGGTCTCAAGGAAGTCTAACTCTTCTTCAAAGGAGGAAAAAAGAGACGACGGCGGTCTACAGAATGTTAAGTTCGCGTTCACGACAACAAGCAGACCACCCACTTCTCGTCATCCTTGCTACAGTAGTACAACCGACATACTTTGAGTAACTCGTCTGCACAATCAGGAGACATCTTTTTCGAGTAGGATTTGAGAACATCAACTGTCTTGTCGAATATGCCGGCCTTGCGGTAGCGTTTGGCTGCTAGTTCGTACGCCTCAGCATTCAGGTATGCATCCGCCGCCTTACGGTCGTCAGCCGCACGAACGTAGCACTCCGCAGCTGTATGGTAGTACCGCAGCTTCAGCCTACCAGGTGTCTCACTGCCACATTTGTCAAATGCGTCTGCAGCCTTGGCGAACGCCTGCCGCTGCTCGCTGGCTAGCGCCACCCCCACGGTTGCGCGAGCAAGCTCTCGGAAATGGTATGCTTCAGCAATCCTCACTTCACGGGGCATTTCGGCACGGCCAAAGCAATGCATCGCTTGCGTGTATCGCCTGTGATGGAATAACCAGAGACCTGATTCTGCCCATTCTTCAGGAGTCGAAGAGACTGCCAGATGCGGAACATCAGTTCCAGGGACTACAGTTGTGGATTTGAGAACGAGACGTCCAGAATATCTATCATAACCGTCAGCTTTCTTGCATTGACGGCTTATTCGAGAGGATATTCCTTACTCTCATAGGCTCGGCCTTGTCAGACTTGTCGGCAATCCACATATTCTTACGTGCTCTTGTAATCCCCACGTATAAGAGTTTCAACTAGAACAAGGCGTTATCTGACGGAATGAACCAGCAGAAGTAATTCCAATTACATACCTCACCGCATACCCCTGCGTATCTGCTTTCGTTCCTTTCGAAACATGGCGCTTGTGGCCGGCACGGACTGTGGCCATCAAACCCACTGTTTATGGCGGCCAGCACCAGACGCCAGCGAGATAGATCCACGTTTGAGTCCTCAAAGAAGTTGTAAAGGAGCACCTGGGAATTCCGAAGATCACCACCCAATGCTGCAGAAAGGAGATACTGGGTGGATAGACACCTACATCATTGAACTCCAGCCCTTTGCTCTCATAAAGTGTCCTGCCACAGTCAGCCTTCAGCAAGGTTTAGAAATGGAATGGTTAATCCGCCTCACATGATAAGTCCAATATCACCCACTTGCTGTCGGAGCTTTTCCCGAGCTTTTTCATTTCGTACCAGAATGCCTGTAACCTTTGCGTAAAGAATGGTAAATGATGCTAGAAAGATCAACTCACACTGCTGTGCGCCGAATTCAATGTGACTGCCACTTTATGGCGGGACCATGTCAGTGGGGAATCCTCAACTGAACGAAACAAGTTACATACGGGGCACCGAAGAGGAATTGTTCGTAACCGATAGCATCCTTGTCCCATCCCGTGAAGAACACCGGTTTCAAGCCGTCGACGATGCCATGTTCAGGCTGGAGGGAATCAATACTGTTCGGCCAGAAGCGAGAAATCAACTCGATCACTGAATGTGCGCAGTTCACTATGCCGCCATGGGACCGGTAGTTTATCGCAAGCTGGAATGACATCGGTGGAGCAATTCGCCGCTCCCTCACCATATGTGAGGTTTGGTCCACCTGAATCTCGTTTAGCTTGGTGGATGTTACAGAATTAAGACCACCCACCTCGATACGGTGTAGAAATGCTTTCAAATCATCAAACCTAAACGAACTGCTTGCAGAGATGGTCTGAGCAGTATCGCCTGCCCAGAACAGGCCTTCCGGATTGCAACATATAAGTCTCAAAACTACAAACATCTCAACCGTGGTCCCCAATTGTTAGACATGGAAAACATACGAAGAGCATCTATGAGCAGATTGTCCTGAGCTTCGTCCACATAACTGCAGCCCGATCCTCATCAGCAACATGCTCACAGATATGAAGGATGCACAAACAGATAGTCTACTTGGCGCCCTTTGAGCGATGTAGCACCCAGTAGAGTCTTAAGAACAGCATGTGTCCTTGTGATGGATCAATGAAGATCACGCTGTACTCCTCGACAACCAGAAACAAACCTGTCTGCAACATCATGATGTTGGCGCTGACGTTTCAGCTTGGAGTAGGCTTCAAATACAGCATAGACAAGTTCTCTTTGACCGGAGAAGGTCGGGTTTGAGCGTGATGGGAGGCCACAGTAAGTTTTCTTATCCAATATCCCGTCATCGAATCCAAGTGACTTTTCTGAGCCTTTGATGATGCCTGTTATAAATTAACATTAGGGGGCCACCACCGAGACTGATGGACATACCCACAATCTCCCCAAACACCAACCATGGATCTGAACGCCGCGTCAGTCATAGAGAATGCAGGTAAACCAACTACTTTACCAAGACCCTTCGTAAGCGGCTGAGGGAAGTGTGGCCAATACGTGTTGGCAAAAGTGTCATAGCTAACAAAGGAGTCAAGGACCTCCGGGTCTTGAGACCGCATGAATAATTTTGCTATACTGTTTAGCCTCTGGATGATCTGCCTCCAAGATATCCGCTGCAATCATCCTCGCCAACTATGGAGTTGGCTATGAGCGGTGAGCTCAGCGAATACGATCAACAATACACACCCGGTCAAATGTTAAGAATAAAGGGAAGTGGTGGTCCTCGAGTTCACTATATCTTTGTGGAATGCCATTTTGCGTGTCCGGGACATCGTCAGGATCAACCATTTCCAGATCCATGTTGCTTGGCTGCAGTCTTGCCAGTTCTTCCAGCGTATATCCTGCCAGGGAGAGGGATTCCAGGAGTTTAACGAAATACTCCTCTACCTTGTTTGCGAGGACCGGCGACTTCGTAACAAATATCTGCCTTGGCCGGGGCATGCCAGAGCCTTCAGATTGAAGCTGCCATGCCCTCTGAATCCCCAGCATCTTAAACAACATGGTTATCGTTTTCCTTCGAATAATGAGCATTCCATCGATCTCGGTCATAAGAATCGGCTCACCCCGTGCCACTTCGACCCAAAACATAACACGATGTAGTACAATCGACGATCTTGCGTTCCTGTGGACTGTAAAGGCTATTAGGCAAGTAAAGCGATCAGAGAAAATGCACCAACGTAAGCTCAAATACATGCTGGACGTTCTTCCTCGCAATTATACCTGTAATAAGGTTATCGTCTGGGCTGGATCATCAGGAAGGATAGTGTTTCTCGAACCGTTGATCAGGGCCTACACAGCACGACTGTGAAATAACAAAGAGGTGGCAGATCAATTCATGCTCACCTGGGAGAAGGTGATGTATTTTTCAAGGCTACCATGGTGTCAATGAACTACAGTGAACTCATGTGCATTAGGACGTACACAAGGAGCGAGTGCAGCTGTAGTCAAACGTCAACAACCGTAGTGAAGGAAGACAGCAAGAAGCTGAAATAAATGGACGCACTTGGTCCATTTCTTTGTCTCCGAGGACCAACGGTGGAGGCTTGACGACTACATCGTGTACCTCGGGTGGGAATACAGCAGGCAAGAACACATTATCTCCGGGATGGACGGGTGGGTGTCTGTACGTGCATCTGCAACGGTGAGATGAATGAACTTGAGTTTCTTTTGTCAGCATAGAGAAGGTCAAGTTACCGTTGTATATACTCTTTGCCATTGCCAGACAAGTGGTGATTCATTGCATCCCAAATGTGATTGGGCTGAGTGTGAGTGCACATCTCAAATATCCTTACGACTTCACGTAAACCCAATAAGTATGTGTGCATATAACGGACATGTAAGGACTACCTTGTCGTTCGATCTGAAACCATTTGAGCACAAGGGACAGGGAAGCGGGTAATTCACTTACTTCACCCTCATGGTCCGAAACACAATCGATTTGATACTTCATGCCACATTAATAACTTTAATAGACACGAGGTGGGAACCCATACCACAATCCTCAAGTCTTGTTGTATCTTTGCCTCGAAAATAGGCACGCCGGAGCGGGCTCCATCCAATCTCTTCTGGTTATCATCTGAAAACCGTCCATGGGAGAGCTCCCTGCGCCAGTGTCACCACACAATAACTAAAGGAAGTGATAGAGTACATACTTGATTTTCTTGACTACAATCTTGAACTTTTGTCGGTCGTTTTCGCGGAATTCTCTCAGTTTCTTCGTCACATTCGTCCCGATCAGAATTCTCCATTCCCCGAAACCGTCTGCATTATCGAAGTACAAGGCAGCCTTCATTGGCTGAACCGTTGGGTACGCTGACGGCTGAGTTTCCACGACAACGGAGGTGGATGGCTTCACTACAGTTCGAGGACGCTCGCTGGAACTGTGATCAGATAAAAGTTGAACATAGGCGTTCTTCAGGGGCATCGCAAGTTCAGGGCTTGAGAGTGCACTCAGATAGGACTGTCGAGAGAAGTCAACGGCAAGTCGTGACGGTTTAGGAAGGTTACTCACGTCTAAGACCAATTTTAACCTCTCCGCGATGTCGTTGGCCATTCGTCTCGCTGCTTCATTCGTAGTGGGCACAGGAACCCCAAGTTTGAAAAACAGGGCAGGATCAACAGCCGCAGCTGTTTGCTTGACCCTCCGTCGCTGTTTCTTTACTTTCTGCTTGAAGAACGGGATGTCGTCTATTAACTCAGCATGCTCTTCTGTGACAGAAGTTTCGCTGGCAAAATCCGCACAGCACAACATGGCCAGGACAGGCAAAACATTGTCCACGTATTGCCTGAACTGGCCAATGTTTTTGGACAGATCAGTAGACAGGAGGTCGGGAGGAATAGAGAACAAAGTATGGGATATCTTGAACAATAGATCCTTGACGAAGGACTGCGGTATAAGCGCTGGTTCCTTCGGAAAGGCGCTAAAAATACGGTCGACCAGCTTTTTCGAGTTGGGCCAAGCTAGTCAGAATTCATGTGAGCAGGATTTCTACGCAGACGAACATTTGCTTACCCGAAATAAGGAAACCAAAGAGGCCCGGGACAGACGATAACTCACGGACGATCTGTGCCACAGCGTCATCCGTGTTGGAGACTACTAACAACAGCTCGAGGTGACGAAGCGCGTCAGCAAGCCCAACAGGGTGTGCCAGACGTTCTGCAGAGAACAAAGAAAGATCTACAACGCGCACCATGGTGGGTACGGAGTAGCCAACAGCTCACTGGTAGCACTAGCCGGTCAAGGGGCAGATGGTAGCCCACCGTTGAAAGGGACTATGTGATATATAGCCCCACAAAGCTGACGCGACCTTCACCTCGTGTTACTGATATGAATGGGGTCAAACTCAGCACTGCGCAGGCTAATACCTGATATGGATCTTTGAAGCTGTGCTCGATTGTAACCCACAACCCTATTGCTTCTTGACTCCACTCCGTGTGGCACCCTGACCAGGACCCCGAAAAATCCTAGACCTCATTGCACCAGCAGCAACAGCAGTATGGAAAGCTGGACAATCATACTTGAATAAGGAATGCCCAATGCTGAAATGCCAAAGTCAAAATGGAAATGGCCAATGGCAGACCTTGATTGTGATCACTCCACATCAGAGAAATGGGGAATGACAGAATTGCAGTCATGACCAGTCAGTGATGGGTTTAAACAGGTTTAAACCATTTTTTCACTTCCTGATGCAAGTACTTTTTTTTTTTGCCATCATCATTAATGAAAAAATAAAAAACATGATTGTCAAAGTACTCCATGTGCTTCAATGCTATGCTAGTGAACAGGGGGGAGTAGGGGTGTGTGCTAATGACAAGACTCACAAGCCAGAGAACTGTGGAAGGTATCTAGGGAGACTAAGGGGAGATGGGTGAAAACCCAAAGGGTTTTCCAGCCCAGAGGAGGCACTGTATCTGAAGGCAATGAGTGAGCTGTGACCCATCAGTTAGGAGCCAGCAACACTAACAGTGAAGCTCAGAGCCCTGGAAAAAGGAGATGGCTGCTTACTTGTGTGGGTAAAAACTGGATTAGTGCACTGGGGGCATAGTGTATCTCATGAAGTGTTCCAGGAGAGTGGGCCTATTGTTGAGGTAGGGTGCTAGTATTATTGCATGTTGATGTAGGTATCATGTGAAGGAGTCTCCTGCCCAATGCCTGATTGTCTTGATGACATCAAAGGGAATGCCTCAGAGCAAGTAGTGAAGTGTGCCACCTATACTTAGACTGTGTCCTCTGAGGTTTGGAAGATTATGTTCAGAGGCTAGCACCAAGATGCACTTGGTGACCTCTGATTTGGATAGTGGGCATAGGCCTGCTGTGGGGTGCTTCCATGCAAATAAATGTGCACTGGGATTGGTGGGGTTGACTCGAAAGTGGTTCTCTAGCACTTTGATGGGGTTTGTGATGCCTTCCACAGGTGCACATTGAATGTCCTCTCCTCATGGGGAGGTTTTGGCACAAGGAATGCAGAATTTGGTGACTGGTAGGCCATTGAGGTCATGGAGATGTTTCAAGTCTGCTTGAGTGATGTGCTTCACTGGGTCAAAATGCTTGATTGATGTTACTGTGAACTCTCTGAGTCTGCCTACACAGTAGAAAACTGTGGTTAAACACACAAAGATGGCAGCATCTCTGGGATTTTTGAGATCCATGAATGAGTGAAAAAGTTCTAGGGTTTTGACTTTGAATGGCTCACAGGGAGGGCATTTGGATGCAGGTGGAGCTAGGTGTGAAGCTCCTTCTTGTATAGCTCAGAGTTCCTCTTGGTTGATGTTCCAGGGTAGGCCATGCAATAAATGCCATGCACATGGGCCTGCTGCAAAGTTCACCAGGGCTGATCTGGAATAGGAGCCCACACAGCTGGACAGGAAAGTGAGCAGTGTTGTGGCTGAAATGGGGGCATGCTGCTGTTCTGGGAGGTTGTGCATGTCACAGTATATGTGGTATGTTAGTAGGCCAGCTCCATAAGCTTCTTTGGTTCTTTCTGCCCATGAGGCCTGAATGACTTCCAGGATATGGTTCAGTTGTTCCTCTGGGATGGGGTGTGAGCCACCTTGTTCTGTCCCCACTGCTACTCATGTGTTCATAGCTGTTGGGAGCCACAGCTGGAGACACTCTCTGGCAAGACAGTGAGGGTGTGGAAGGGAGGGTATGGGGGTTGGACCTGGTTTGTAGGGGACCCCATGTAGTCCATTTAGTCACAACATATAGGTAGCCTGCATGCAAAATGCCAACACTTATATAGACCCCATGATGGGCTCATCTAAATAGATTAGCCATGACACATGGACAGGCCTGAGGGCCTATAGTGAGAGCAACATATGTATGGGGCCGTAAATGCAATTCCACAACATATGGGAGGGCCTGTGGAGGGTAAGGATGCTGCAACATATAGATGGGCCCATGACCAAGTAAGTATGCTAAGCTACTGTAAGACATGGATGGGCCCACCTATTGTATCATGAAGAAGGTTGCAACATATGGATGGGCCCACCCATCATATGCTTTATAGGGTCACAACATAAAGAGGGGCCCATCTATGATAGATTACAGAGTTGGCAACATATGGAAGGGCCCATCTTTGGGATAATATACCCCTGTCACAACATATAGACAGGCCTGTCCATAGCAAGATGTACACCTGTTGCAACATAAGGACAGGCCCTTCAGCAGTATTATTTATATGGTCATAACTTATGGACAGGCCCTTCAGTAATATATTTTATATTGCCATAAAACAAGGACAGGTCTGTCTAGTAAGATCCACCCCTGTTGCAACATAAGATGGGCCCAACACCAATAGCACATATAGTGTCACAACATATTGATCAGATCACAGCAAAATATTGAGGCAAGCATCCCGACATGCTGTAATTTTCCAACAAGCTGCAAGCAGCTCACCCACTATACAACTCCAACCTCATCCACCCCAAGCATGAACACTATGCAAGACATGTCTAAAACCCCCCACAGATGGTGAATGGAACTAACAGACTGCATTGCATCATACATGAAAGCCAGATTTCAAGAGGAGGTATTCAGCAGACCTTGTGCCCTTCCAGATATATTGATTCCATTTCTGGTGTTATGTGGAGCAGATCACATATTGTCAGTAATCTCACAGGCCTATTGTTGCCCAAGTAAGTCCATCATAATGGTGCAATGGAAGTTTTCATCTTTCTGCAGTCAATGTCAGGAAAAAATTGGGGTAGAAAAACCTGTGATGCAGAAGCTGCTGAGAGATACATGGAAGTGACTGAGCCATCCATTCTGGTGACTGACTCAAACACCATCTGCATTTGGTATTTGCCAGATGCTCTCAGCCCAAAAAGAAGGGTAAGGGAATGCAGAATCTCATATTCTACTGACTTGATGCAATGGCAGGCTGACATATGGAACTGCCTTCATCTTCTGAGGGAACCACTGCAGGAGAGCATAAAGGTTTCCCCACAGGCATGGTGCATGGTTTCAACAGGGTCATGGGGTGGGTGATCATTTATTTCCTTGTGAATAAAGTGCTCATCTGTCTTGAAGCCCCAAAATGGCTTCCTGGAAGCCTCATGGCTGCTCAAATCCAGGATGGAAAACACTTCTACAAGGGAATGGGTTGACCAAATGTCCAACACCAATGCCCTGTTATCTGCGATCCTGCATGTCATCCATCTGTGAATGTATGCAGATGGCAGGGAAGCATTGATCTGCATTGGCAAACAGGCAGAACAGTGGGCAGATTCAGATATGAGCTCCATACTGCCGATATGGAGCTCCATGTATAGCAGCATGTCTGTGATGGTGAATCAGGAAACTTGTTACCACAGGGATATCAATGGATGGGATCCATGGTATGACATGCTGGTAACCATGGGTGATGACCCACCCTTGGACTTTGTCATTCCAATGTTGAATCTGTGGCTGCAATACAACCCAGGGATGATCATTGCATTTTCAGGTTCAGCATTGGAGCATGGGGTGGGAGCTGTAGACAGTGACAGAGCATGCCTGGTGTACTACATGTGTGCCAATGTAC